GTCTGTAGACCAGGCTGGTCTCGAACTCACAGAGATCCACCTGCCTCTGCCTCCCAAGTGCTGGGATTAAAGGCATGCACCACCAACGCCCGGCCGGGAGGGACTTTTCAATTCTGGCTGCACGTTAGTTGGGAGATTTTGGCCACTTCTCACTCCGGTGCCACCCTCCAAGATTAAGCCTTGCTTGTCCCTGTGTCCAATGCTGCAGGCATGAGACCTGCTTCAAAACCCTGCACGTGTGAGCCTGAAGGAACATTATTCCCTTCCTCGGTCTTTGTCCTGAGTGTGTGAGGAAGCTGCCCTGCCAGCCCCACCAAGGCAGAGGTCATTGTCCTAAGTGGCCTCATGTGACCATACTGGTACCCTTAAGTCCCTGCCTGCAGCCTGCAGCTCTGTCCTGACATGTATGTCACACGGGTACCTGTCTTTCCAGGGGACCCCCTACAGTAAGTGAGTGGTGCTGTCCCGACTCCACAGCAGAGGAAGGGTTAGAAAGTCTGTGTGCCGGACTCTCCTCCTGTCCACACCCCAGCTCGGGCCAGGGAAGCTGCAGTTCTCAGCTGCAAAGCTTTGTCAAAAGAGAAGCCTAGGGGCCAGCGAGAGGGCTCAGTGGGGAAAGCCTCCCATCCTGAGTTCTGTCCTTGGGACCCACATGGTGGAGGAGGAGGTTGAATGTCCTAAAGATTGTTCTCCAACCTCCACCCATTGCCCCCCTCCCCCATCCCCAACACAGACCAAGAGAGCAAGAGAGAGGGAGAAAAGGGAAGAGGGGAGGGGGGGAGCACAGCTGGTCTGCTCTCCTCAGCAAGACAGGGTTAGAGCTAGGCAGCCTGGGCACGCACTGGGGCGGCACCAGAGCCTCAGGTGGGGGCGACGACGGGGCACAAGACGCTGATCCTGCCTTTGTGATGACCCTGCTGGTGACAGGCCTGTTCCAGGGGTAGCAACAGATCTGTGCTCCTTCCCCCCAGAGACGGTGCCAGGGCCCTTTTCAAGGGGTTTCCCCCGGTTCCTCTATGTCACCCCAACCCAGAAACCCACCATCTCGGAGCTCTGCTGATAGAAGGAACCAGAACGTCCTTCCTCCTGCTGTGACCTCTTTAGATTCCGCTTTGCTGGGCCCATCAAAGGGTGGTGGATTTCTGGTTACTCAAAAGGCAAAGCCAGCCGGGCGTTGGTGGTGCACGCCTTCAACCCCAGCACTCGGGAGGCAGAGGCAGGCGGATCTCTGTGAGTTCGAGGCTGGTCTGGTCTACAAAAGCTAGTTCCAGGACAGCCTCCAAAGCTACACAGGGAAACCCTGTCTCGGAAAAAACAAACAAACAAACAAACAAACAAACAAACAAACAAAAAGGCAAAGCCAGGGCTGGGGTTGGGGCTTGGGCTACAGTGGTCCCTCTTTGTATCTGTCCAATGCTCAGCTTCTAAGTCAGTCTCTCCTTGTTCTTCTCCCTCTCTTTCTCTCATTCTCCCCCCTTCCCCGTCTCTGTTTCTCTGTCTGTCTCCCTCTGTCTTTTTGGGGGGATGGGGTCTTGACTTGAACTCATATAAGAACATTCTGCCTCAGCCTCCTAGTATGAAGATGTGTCCCTGGGCCAGCTCCTGAGTCTTGAGGTGACTTACTGTGGCCGTGTTCCCTTCCCTCACAAGCTCATGCACAGTGAGAATTTGCCAGGCGTCAATATTGTTCTCGTCTTTTTCAAGGATTCTGGAATAGGAAGAGAGGTGACATGAACTGACAGTGTTCACAGCCCGGTTGGGATGGGATATTAGAAACATCTGGCTACCTTTTAACAGCCATTTCTCTTTCTTTTTAATTATTCTGTAATTATATGTATTTGTGTATGCCTGTTTGACCCCCTGAAGCTGAGGTCACAGCTGTGGACCATCAGATGGAAGTGCTGGGAACTGAACTTGGGTCTTCTGGAAAAGCAGCCAGAGTTTTTAACTGCAGAAGCGTCTCTCTGGTTCCTCCGCTGCTCCTCCCCCTCCCCTGCTCTTCTCTTCCTCCTGCTCCTCCTCCCCTCCTCCTATCTTTCCTCTTTTTTTTTTTTTTTTTTTTTTTTTTTTTGACACCAGGTTTCATGTTCCCTAGGCTGGCCTTGAGTTTGTTATGTAACTCAGGCGGGTTTCAAAATCCTTCTGCCTCCACCCCTCAGAGGCTGTGACTACAGGTGTATCTCGCCACACTCAGCTCAGGGGTACTCAGGTTAAAGGCATGAGCCACCACTGCCTGGCAACATGGAGACTTAGCCTTATCTTAGCTCTTAATTTTAATCTGTTTCTCTTTATGTATATTTTGCCTTGGGGCTTTTCATCTTTCTTTGTCTCTGTGTGTCCTTCTTTCTTGCTGTCTCCATGTTGGTCTGTCTGCTGCCTGACATCTCACCCTGGGTGTGTCCCTCTCTTTCTCCCTCGCTCTCTCCTCTTCTTCCTAGATTTCTCCTCCTACTTATTCTCTCTGCCCACCAGCTCTGCCTATCTATCCCTCCCCTGTCTAGCCATTGGCATTCAGTTTTTTTATTAGACCAATCAGGTGCCTTAGGCAGGCAAGGTGAAGCAGCAACACATCTTTACATAGTTAAACAAATGCAGCATAAACAGATGCAATGCATCTTTACATAGTTAAACACACATCCTTATATCTTCAAACAAGTGCAGCATAAACAAACCTAACACACCTTTACACAGTTAAGTAATATTCCACAGCATAAACAAATGTAGCATATCCTTGCCAGCCGGGCGTTAGTGGCGCACGCCTTTAGTCCCAGCACTCAGGAGGCAGAGACGGGTGGATCTCTGTGAGTTCGAGGCCAGCCTGGTCTACAGAGTGAGTTCCAGGACAGCCTCCAAAACAATACAGAGAAACCCTGCCTCCAAAAACCAAAAACCAAACCAAACCAAACCAAAAAACTATATCCTTGCCCAGTCAAAACAACTTTCTACAACACACTCCAGTCAGGACCCAGGATGAAAAACAGGCCAGTCGTGGAGGCTTAAGCCGGCAATCATAGCTGCTTGGGAGGCTGTGGTGGGAGGGTCAGCCTAGGCTACAGAATGAGTTCAAGGCCAGCCTGGGCAACTCAGCGAGGACCTGTCTCAAACAGAATTTTGAAAGAGCTGAGGCTATAGCTCTGTGGTAGCGTGCTTCTGCAGCTTGAGCAAGACCCCCCCCCCCGTTCCATCCCCCAGCGCCCCGAATACCTAAGAGGGGGAGGGGCCTGGCAAGGGGCGTTCCCTTCACCTGTGCGCGGTTTCTATGGTCTGCTCCCAGTCTTGCCGAGCCAGGAACAGTCTCATCTTCAGGACTAAGGCCGGCAGGAAGTTCCCTGAGGCCACAGTGATCTGGCTCACCACCTCCAGGGCTCTGGAGAAGTTCTGCTGTGTCATGAAGTATGTTGCCTGTGGGGAACCGGAGAGAAGAGCCGGGGTTCCGGGTGGGCAGTTCGGATCCTGACCAGCCTAGAGCCCAAAGGCCCCAGAGATTAATTGTGGGGGCCCTGCCTGCCAGGTAGCCAGTTGGGAAGCTGTTTTTACTTCTGAGACTTGGGATCATGGCCTCTGGGGGCCCAGTGTTAGTCACTGCTCCCCTGGGGTGCCCTGCCAGGAGCTCTGAGGGCCAGAGCAGGACTTCTTCAAGGCTGGGACATAGCTCAGTTGGCAGAGTGCTTGCCTAGTGTGTGTGAGGTCCTGGGCTCTATCCAGGCACGGTGGTGTCCCCTGCTCCCTCCCCTCTCCCTCTGTCATTGAGTGACTATGTAGTCCTTTTGTAAGGACAGACAGACACACACACAGAAAGATAGTAAGAGAGCAGTTTTTTTCTCTCAAAGCTAGAGCTGATGAGGACTGCAGAAGAAAATAAAACAATTTCATTCAAATTAAGGTCAGAAAATGCCAAACATGCAAAGCGCACGCTTCCCTTTTCTTGTGGCCATTAGGTGACTTCAACAGGAGGGGGAGGCTGGGGGGATGGGGAGGGGTAAAAGACAGGGGTGGAGGGGGCGAAGGGACGGTGACCCCCACACAGCCCCGGGCACTGCCACCGCTCCTCAGACCAACTTTTGGGAGGTGAAGGCAGGAGGATCAGGAGCTCAAGGCTAGCCTTAGCTACGGAGTGAGTACGAGGCTAGCCCTGGATACAGGAGAGCCTGCCTCAGAACACCAAACAGGGACGAGGGATGCTGCTCAGCGGATGCTTGCCTGGCATGTACCAGGCCCTGGGCCCAATTCCCTGGCGTTCAACAGAATGAGAAGCGTGGGTGACAAGGGCACTCACAGGAAGCAGGGAGGAGTGAGCTCTGGACCCTTGTGGCCCTTTCTGGGCCTGAGTTCCCCGGGCAGATCTCTGGCTCCCCGTGGACCAGCCCAGACTCCCCCAGTCCCCTCTGCCCACCTTGCCCATCAGCGCCAGCATGTCTTTGGTGTCCTGAGCTCCTTGTTCCAGGTACTTGATGGATTTCTTCACAACGTGGGGCTTGCTGGAGGTGAGGTCCATCCAGCCTCTTAGCACGTAGCCCTGGGAAGGGAACAAGGGGGAGGGAAACGTCCTGGGTCCTCCACAGGTAGACCCTTCTAGTTTCTTTCCTTTTGAGACAGCCTTGCCCTGTAGCCTAGGCTGGCCTCTTGCTCCCAATCCTCCTGCCTCAGCCTCCCAGGAGCTACGATGACAGGCAGGCATGTGCCACCATCACGCCATGCCTGCTTGCCTATTTAAATCTTATGATTTCTTTAGAATGTTTTATTACATTTATGTGTGCATACATGTATGTTTGTAGGTGTGTGTGTGTGTGCGCGTGTGTGTGTGCGCACATGTGCCACCATGTGGGTTCCAGGGATCAAACCCACGCCATCAGGCTTGGTAGTAAATGCCTTCACCTACTGAGTCATCTTGCCTGCCTAGGAGGCGGGAGGGGCCGAAGTTCAAGGCCATCGTTGGTGACACCCAGGCTTGAGTACAGCAGCCATCACCACCCTCGGCACACTCACAGGCTGCTGCTCTCAAGAGCAAGGCTGATGTGTTTACTCACAGGAGGAGGGGCTGGGAGGCTCCTGTGGACCAGCCTGCACCTCACTGCTAGGTGGATGTCATCCCCCCCCCCAATTGCAGGTGGCCTTGTCCTAAGGTATGCAGGGGTGGGGTTGGCTTTCCAGTGAGACTCTGTCTATGCAGTCACAGGGAAGTGGTCATTTAGGCTGAGGGGAGGTTGTTTTGGTTTGCGAGGCTGCTTTGGGGTCAAGCCCAATAGACTCATTGTTTTGCCAAGTTGGACTTGACGGGTGAGTGTGTGTTTGTGTCTCACGGGAAAAGTTTATGCAGTAGACCCTGTCTCGAAAATCAAACCAAAACAACAACAACAAAAAAAGGCAGGCCATAGGAAAGCAGTCTAGAGACAGGACGCTGTGCACAGGCGTGATGAGGGTTTACACAGGGTACAGGTCTGAGACCCCGTGCCGAGGTGTGGCCCTAGCCCCAGGGCTCTCCGGGAGCGGCCCCACTACGACGCTTTGCTTGGCTGTGGCCCTGAGATGCTCCTGTACCTCTTTGGAGCCACTGCAGACCTTCAGCATGTGGTCAACATATTCCCTGGCCTTGTCGTGGTGGCCTATGAGCCAGAGGAAGAGGCTGGCGTAGTACAGGGCGGTGTCACTGGCTGTCTTGCGGATCTCCTTCAAGCTGCTCTCCAACTCTTGAACTGCTTCTCTGTCTAGATCCAGGAGAGGAAGAGGCTGAGTGAGGACCAGGAGGTTCTCATCTGATGCAGTGCATCCTTCTCTGCACCAGCCACCCCTGCCCCATGGGGGCTCAGTTTGCAGTTTACTGTCTGGGGGCCTCCCATCCCCATGTTTATCAGTGTGCTGAGCAGATGGACTGAGCATGAGTCCCTAACTGAGGGCCCATCCTGAGTGAGAGACGGGAGAGTCTACATTGGCACGTTTCTCTGACTCCCTAGGGACCTGAGATTAGGAGCATAGTTGTTTAGAATGGCTGGGTCTATTCATTCATTCATTCATTCATGCATGCATGGCATGCATCCATGCATGTATGTATGTATGTATGTATGTATCTATCTATCTATCTATCTTGGTGAAGACTGAAGGATGCTTTCACGAGCTTGGTCTGGAGGGATGAGCCCTTCCGTCATGCTTCCTGCCTCTCCCTTCCTGGTGGTTTCAGCCCTTAGGTCTTCTCTGAGGCCTGTGGGGAGAGCCTGAGGGGTAGCCTGTCTTGACTGGCTCACAGCCGATCCAAGCGGCCCTGTGCCTGCGCCTCAGAAGGGCTTGCCTCTGCAGTGGCCTTTTCTCCCCTACGGGGCGCAGTCTGCCGAGCTAGCGGCACTCACCGATGGTGTCGCAGCACTTGTGAGCATAAAGCAGGGCGATGATGGAGCACAGGGACATATCCGGGTGGCTTTGGATGCTCTCCAGCTCACTGATGGCATCATGGATATGGTCTGTAGAAAGAGCGTGCACAAGGTTCCGCTCTGGGGTCCCAGACAGACAGCATGGGACGGAGCCACCTGCTTTCACACCCGGAATCTAGGGACAAACTGACTTGAAAGGTCCCCAGGAGCCTGCACTTCCTGGAGGGTGAAGTGCTCTGAAGGCTGTTGGCTCTGTGGTCCAGGCTGGCAAAGGCAGGTCCGTGTGTGCGTCTGTGTCTGGATGTCAGAGGGTGACCTTAGGTGCTTTCCTGGTTTGTTTGTTTTTCTAGACAGAGTTTCTCCCAGTAGCCCTGGTCATCCTGGAACTTGCTCTGTAGACCAGGCTAGCCTCAAACTCATAGAGACCTGCCTGCCTCTGCCTCCCAATTAAAAGCTGGGATTAAAAGCGTGCACCACCAACGCCCGGCTTAATAAGTGCTCTAAACTGTTGAGCCATCTCTCTAGCCCCGACTTTCTTTCGTGTCTTGTTTTTGTTTTTGAGAAAGGCTCTCATGTGTATCTAGTCTGAGATCACATCGGACTTCCTGATCTTTCCTGTCTCTGCCTCACAGGTGCCTGGACAACAAAGGCTCATCGCTACACCTGGCCTTCGGCTAAGACTATTGGAACCTAGAAGTGTGGCCCAGAGTGAGCCTGGGAACTCCAGAGGGGCCGCAGTCAGTTCTGCAGAGGGCCAGGGCATTCCCAGCCAGTTGCTGAAGACCTACCAATTGCGTTTCTCCCGGATGTCCCCAACATGGGTGACAGGCTCCTCAGACAGCTCTCAGCACCTGCCCGAGTCCCACCCTCTTACAATTTGCACCCTACTCTCCTGCCGGTACTCATGTCTCCCACCCCTCCCTTCCCGAAGATCCAGCGCTCCCTGCTTCCAAGCCTGAGCAGAGGAAACCGAGGCTCACGGCGGGTATGGCGAGCCAAGATCTCAAGATCCAACCTGGTATGGACTTGGCAGGTTCCTGTTTACCCGTGGCACGCGGCAGTCAGCGCGGGGACGTGTCCGTGGGAGCACAGCTGGAAGTAGGCGCGCGGATGCCGCCAGGACCAGGGCTAGGGCGGCACCTGGGGTCGGAGTGATACCTTACCTTCCCCGAGGGCTCCGTAGGCTTTGAAGAACTGCAACACGGGGTCGTTGCTGTACCTCTCCAAGCCCACGCTCGCGGCCTGCCGCACGTGGCGGAAGTACTTTTCCCGGCTGTAGTAGATGATCAAAGCCTGTGTGAGAGGAAGGCATGGTGGTGAGAGCCCCAGTCCTTCGTCTCTGCTCTGACCCAGGCAGAGTGAGACCCGCTCCCTTGTGAGGTGCTGTGCTCCACCTCAGTGCTACACTCAGGAAGGCAAAGGCAACGTTTTCATGCTTTTGCCTTCTCTTTCGGCAGCCCCGGGAGTAGCTCCAGGCAGCGTTGCTAGGACAGGGTTTTTAGGTGATTGGGGGCGGGGGATGGCATTGATTCTGGTTAAGACGTGATGTAAACGTAAATTCAGGCTTGCCATGGGATGGGAAGGAAGAGTATGGGGCGATAATTGGAACAATTATGGCAGTCGTTGTGGTGACAAGCTAGGGACCGTTTTCACGGGCTCTATGTCCACCATCGTACACATGATCATGTGTCTTTCACAAAGAAGTGGAACCCCGGGGAGATCAGCTCTGCAGACATCGCGCGATAACGGGGCTAAGATTTCAAAGCCAAGTCTCACTTCCTCTAAGGTTTGTGGGTGTTGAATTGGGGGTAGATGTGGTTGGATCGGAAAAGCCTCATGGCCCATTTGAAGAAGCCTAGAGTCACCTCAGGGTAGCAAACAGGACGCAGTTGGCATGGTTCTAAGTAGGGGAGTGGTGTTTTCAGATTTTTTGGGCGGGGGTCTCGAGACAGGATTTCTCTGTGACTTTGAAGGCTGTCCTGGAACTCGCTCTGTAGCCCAGGCTGGTCTTGAACTCAGAGATCCACCTGCCTCTGCCTCCCGAGTGCCGGGATTAAAGGTATACGCCACCACCACCCTGCATGTTTTCAGATTTTTAAAGCTGTTTTGACAGAGTCTCATTTTGACAGATTGGCCTGAAACTAAACTACATAGCTGTGGATAACCTTGAACTCCTGATCTTCCTCCCCCTCTCAAGTGTGGGGCTTACAAGCGTGTACCGTCAGACCCGTTTTATGCGATGCTAGGGATCAGAGCCGGGAACTGACGCGTACTCTAGCTACATCCCCGGTCACCTCAAAGGCATACATTCTAAGGAGAGACTCTGGCTGTTGTGTGTGGTTGCAGGAGGTCCGTGGACAGTGGCAGGCGGTAGCGCTGGTGAAGAGAGCCAGGGTAGGGAAACCAGGCTGGAGCTGTCTAGGGAGACATGGTGGCTCTGGCTTAGGAAATAAAACCAAGTAGTGAACCTTGGAGACATCTGCGAGCGTGTTGGGTTAGGACTGGAGGTGGGCATGGAGAGTTAAGGCTCACAGCATCTTCTGAGCCGGGGACAAGGAAGAGGCTTGAGAGGGAGGCTAAGAGGAAGACGTGAAAAGACAAACGGGCATGGGTATGGGTTTAGTTTGGGGGAGCACAGGAGGTTAGGCTCAGGCTGGGGGTGCAGAGGGCACAGGAAGCAATGCATTGGCTAGGGTGTTGGGGGAGATGGAGGGACTTCTTGACACTGCCAGAGTGAGTAGTGACAGAGGGGTAGCGGTGGTTAGGGAGGGAAGTATCCCAGAGGTGGCCCAAGGGAAGATGGCCAGGGAGTGGGAGGGAGGGAGGGAGGGAGGGAGGGAGGGAGGGAGAGAGAGAGAGAGAGAGAGAGAGAGAGAGAGAGAGAGAGAGAGAGAGAGAGAGAGAGAGAGAGAGAGAGAGAGAGAGAGAGAGAGAGAGACAGAGAGAGAGAGAGAGAGCGTCCACAGCAGAAATGGCCAGGGAGCAGAGAGCCCACGGCAGAGCAGAGCTGTGCGGGCAGCAGGAGCCCGGCGCAGGCGGCCCAGCGCTCAGCTCACGCACCATGAGGGAGTCATCGCCGCTCATCGCTGCAGCCGGGTTCGGGTGATGCCCGGCTGAGCAGGATTCCCAAGCTCTGGGCTGCCCAACTCGCGGCTCGGCTCGCGGCCGGAAGTCCGAGGCCTGCGCGTCCTTGGCAACCTGGCAGCCGGCCCGTTGCTAAGAGCTGACATCCGGGAGGGCGTGGTCTGGCCCCATGTGACCGAGCCACGCAGCGGAGGAAGAGGGCGGCCATGGGGCTGGGAGCGAGCTCGGAGCAGCCGGCGGGCGGCGAGGGCTTCCACCTGCACGGGGTGAGCCGCTGAACCGGGGCGGCGGGCGGGCATCGGGGAGGCTTGCACAGCTCGGGGGCCCGCGGTGTCCCCTGCCCCTGTCAGCTTGAGGAGGCTCAGCGCGCCCAGGACTGGAGACCCCTTCTGAGAGGCGCGGTGCAAGGGGCTGGAGCAGCTCCAGGGCTTCGGGAAGCCTGCGGGGAGGGCGAGCGTGAGATGATCGGAATGACGAGCCAGGGTGGGCACTGGAACCCCACAGCGAAAACACCCCGAGACTTGGGTGAGGCCTTACGTGTCACTTGCAGGGAGGTGCGAGCGAACGGGCTTCTGGGAAGTGGAGACAAAGTGGGTGATTTGGGGTTGGGGATAAGGAAGGGCTTTGAACCCTGGTCCCCCACTCTCCCCTCTTGAGAACTGGGTAGAGCCAGAGCTGCGGGGAGGCGGGCGTGTTTATCAGGTTGCTGCCTGGCTGCATTCGGCCGGATCTTAGTACGTAGCTCAAGTTGGTCTGAAACTCAGTAGCTCTCCTCTCTCGGTCTCTTTTTTTTTTTTTCGTTTGTTTGTTTTGGTTTCTCGAGGCAGGGTTTGTCTATGTATCTCTGATTGTCCTGGAACTCGCCCAGTAGACCAGGCTGGCCTCGAACTCACAGAGATCCGCCTGCCTCTGCCTCCCGAGTGCTGGGATTAAAGGCTCTCCGGCTCTTTTAAATTCGATTTCTTTTGAGATGGCCTCACCCTGTGCTACGTAGACTAGGCTGGCTTGGATGGGACTTACTGAGATCCCTCTGCCTCCGCCTCCTGAGCCTCTGTGCTTCTTTGGTCTGCGTCAACGGAAGGATGACATCAAGTCTAAGATGTGATTGCTAGCCGGAAAGCCTCGTTGTCTTCACAGACCAGAAGTGACAAGATTTGTGCCTGGGGACGTTGGAATGCGCCCAGTCAGGGGTGTTTTAGAACATACTTGCATGAGGGGGTTCTGTGAGTGAAGCCAGCCGCCGGTGTGCAGGGTGGTGTGGCCGCCGGCTGGCCTGTGGAGGATGCAGATGGGCTCGCAGGGCCTTCCGTGTTGTCCTGAAGACTTGGAGAGCTTTTGTTTGGCAGTCCTGGGGATCCGCCCTGGGCCTCCTGGATGCTGGATCCGCCCTGGGCCTCCTGGATGCTGGAGCTATGTCCCCAGGTCCTGAGACTTGGTATTTTATCTGGAGATATGGAACTATCTGGAGGAGTTTTGTTGTTTTAGACTTTATTTCCATTTTTATGTGTAAGGATGTTTTGCCTACAGTTATATATGTGCCTGGTACCCACAGAGGCCAGATGGGGGTATTAGGTGCCCTGGAGTTGGAGTCATGGATGGTTGGTGAACCACCGTGTGCGTGCTGGGAACTGAACTCAGGTCCTCTACAAAAGCAGCCAGTGCTCCTGTTTTTTGTTTTTTCGAGACAGGGTTTCTCTGTACTGTTTTGGAGGCTGTCCTGGAACTTGTTCTGTAGACCAGGCTGGCCTTGAACTCACAGAGATCTGCCTGCCTCTGCCTCCTGAGTGATGGGATTAAAGGTGTGCACCACCACCGCCCGGCCAGACGTTTACTTATATTTTTAAGAGCTGAAGAACAAGGGAGCTAATGTGTCTGAATTTTGTCATTCCCAGTCTTTCCAGGCCCTTGTCCTCAGCACTCAGGAGTGTGCAGCAGTGCAGGGATCACCAGCACTCACTAGGGGTGTGCGGCAGTGCAGGGTTCGCACACTCACACAGAGAATGCTGCTGTAACCAGGTTGCATTTTCTAGGCCCCGACGGCTAAGTTACAGAGCTCCTTTTCTCATCCATAGATTGGAACAGTGAAACGGCCTACAGAGTCGTTAGCATCTGGTACTCGGCACCCAGCCCCTCGTCTAGAGTCTGTCCCGGCTCATTCCGTAGGGTCCTAGGTTGGGGGGTAAGGTGTGGGGTTAGGAAAAGCTGAACGAGCTGTAGGGGGTGTGGGTGCACCGGGAGATGTCGGGGTGAGCAGGGGAAGGGCAGCGGGTTTTGGGGTTTTGCAGGAACAAGGTTCGATGCTGGAGCTCCAGTGGACGGAGCAGGAGACAGATCCTCAGGCAGGTGGGCCGGGTCCAGGGCTTCCAGACCTCATTAACCATGGTGGGTTGCCGACAACATGGGAAGGAGGGTGACACTTCCTCTTAGGAGCCAAGTGGCCTTCCCCAAGGGAGCTGCAGTGGTTTGGAAGTGGCCCTGCCTTGGGAGGACCCCCACCCTCTAAGACATTCTGGTCCTGTGGTCTTGAAAACCCTCTAGAGCAGAGGTTCACAGCTGTGGGTCGTGCCCCTTGCGGGGGTCGGTGACCCTTTCTCAGGGGATGCCTAAGACCATCAGAAAACAGATACTGACATGATTCATTGCAGCAGCCAAACTACAGTTGTGAAGTAGCAGTGAAAATAATTTTATGGTTGGGGGTCACCACAACATGAGAGACTGTGTTAGGGTCGCGGCGTTAGGAAGGTTGAGAACTGCTTGTCTAGGAGGAACAGAGGGCAGGTCTCAGAGTCCCTGAAGTAGGGCCCCCAGAGGGATGGAGCAGGACTTGAAGTCCCTCCAAAAACAGGTCAGAAACAGCTTGCCTTGGGGATGGACCAGCAAGCAATATGGGCCTACCCCCATTGAGGGCTGTGGCAGCTCCGGCAGGCGACACTCAGGCAGGGACTCAGCTGGTGCTGCTGTGAGGACGGAGTTGTGGTGCCAGGGCAGACGGCCTTGAACTGGAGGCGTCTTCAGCGCTTTGTTCAGAGTGGGCTCCCGAAAACTCCTTCACCTTGGGGAGTCCAATGGAGGCACCAAGGATCTGAGGTCACATGAACCCTGTGCCCTGTCACCTGGACCTCGGGCCTGGCTGATCCCTGGCCCAACACTTAATCAAGTGTTCTTAGCGAAAGGCTTGAGCCAAAGGCTTAGGTGCATCTTTAGGATCAGGGCCTGGGGACAAAGGCTGCATTGTTTGCTCAAGGCTCTGCAGATGGACGTGTGAGATGTGTCTGTACAGATGTGATGGCTGAGATGTGTCTGTCTGTACAGATGTGACGGGGCTGAGGTGTGTCTGTCTGTACAGATGTGACGGGCTGAGGTGTGTCTGTACAGATGTGATGGGCTGAGATCTGTCTGTACAGATGTGATAGGACTGAGATGTGTCTGTCTGTACAGATGTGATGGGCTGAGGTGTGTCTGTACAGATGTGATGGGCTGAGATGTGTCTGTACAGATGTGACGGGCTGAGGTGTGTCTGTACAGATGTGACGGGCTGAGGTGTGTCTGTACAGATGTGATGGCTGAGGTGTGTCTGTACAGATGTGATGGGCTGAGGTGTGTCTGTACAGATGTGATGGGCTGAGATCTGTCTGTACAGATGTGATAGGACTGAGATGTGTCTGTCTGTACAGATGTGATGGGCTGAGGTGTGTCTGTACAGATGTGACGGGCTGAGGTGTGTCTGTACAGATGTGATGGGCTGAGGTGTGTCTGTACAGATGTGATGGGCTGAGGTGTGTCTGTACAGATGTGATGGGCTGAGGTGTGTCTGTACAGATGTGATGGGCTGAGGTGTGTCTGTACAGATGTGACGGGCTGAGGTGTGTCTGTACAGATGTGATGGGCTGAGGTGTGTCTGTACAGATGTGACGGGCTGAGGTGTGTCTGTACAGATGTGACGGGCTGAGGTGTGTCTGTACAGATGTGACGGGCTGAGGTGTGTCTGTACAGATGTGATGGGCTGAGGTGTGTCTGTACAGATGTGATGGGCTGAGGTGTGTCTGTACAGATGTGATGGGCTGAGATCTGTCTGTACAGATGTGATAGGACTGAGATGTGTCTGTCTGTACAGATGTGATGGGCTGAGGTGTGTCTGTACAGATGTGATGGGCTGAGGTGTGTCTGTACAGATGTGATGGGCTGAGGTGTGTCTGTACAGATGTGATGGGCTGAGGTGTGTCTGTACAGATGTGATGGCTGAGGTGTGTCTGTACAGATGTGATGGGCTGAGGTGTGTCTGTACAGATGTGTCTGGGGTACAGATGTGTTGGGGCTGAGTGCACTCTGGAGACAGCAGTAAGCTGGTAGCTGGGAGGGGCAGTGAGCACCCCCGGGATGGGAAGCGCCCAGAGCAGGACTGTGTGTCTGGGTGGAGATGAACTCGGGTAGAGGCTGGGGATCTGCTTTTCTTTACCACCACTCAGCGACTAGGCTCTTTGGGATCTGGCCATGCAGCACGGCCTGGCTGCATTTCTCCCGCACGCCTGGGCTTTCCTGGCCGATGCCCCCTGGCCTCCTGGGCAGCTGCAGTCCAGTTTCGGGATGGGGGGCCGTATTCCCGGGGCATCCCTTACTCCCAGGCTGCGTGAGCCCCCTCTGGAGGCATCTGAGCATTTCCTCAGAGGAAACCTCCTGAGGAGGTAGTGCATGGAGGATGAGGTGAGCCCCGGCAGAGGCCAGAGCAGTTTGTGCAGGCTGAGCCCTCTCCACAGCTGCAGGGCCTGTCAGCTCCGAGTGACTTGGCTCTGACCCGTGGCAGGTGCAGGAGAACTCGCCGGCCCAGCAGGCAGGCCTGGAGCCTTACTTCGACTTCATCATCACCATCGGGCACTCGAGGCTGGTGAGGTCCCCCCCCCCCCCCCGCGATGTCCAGCCTGCTTCTACCCCCCTTTCTTCCCGGGTGGATCAGGGCCAGAGGGGCTCTCGGAGGTGGCTACCATTTTCAAGGCATATGAGGCTTTGGACATGGCCCTAACAGGCCTTTTACTCGCTTTGTCGGGGACCAAGGCTTGGGAGGAGTCGGGGCGCCCCAGAGCTGGGTAGGGGTCATTGCAGCTTCCGGGGCTGCAGGCGCAAACCTAGCCGGTGAAGCCGGCCCAGTTACCGTTGCTGTAGCTCGTCCTCGCACCAGCCAGGCCCGCGGTGCTGGCCCAGGGGTGGGAGGCCTCGGGCTGAGTCCGCCCTCCCGGCCCGTGCAGAACAAGGAGAATGACACCCTGAAGGCCCTGCTGAAGGCCAACGTGGAGAAGCCGGTGAAGCTGGAGGTCTTCAGCATGAAGACCATGAAGGTGCGGGAGGTGGAGGTGGTGCCCAGCAACATGTGGGGCGGCCAGGGCCTGCTGGGGGCCAGCGTGCGCTTCTGCAGCTTCCGCAGGGCCGGCGAGCACGTGTGGCACGTGCTGGTGAGTACCGTGGGGCGTGTGTGTGTGTGTGTGTGTGTGTGTGTGTGTGTGTGTGTGTGCCGACCGTTCATATGTGTGTGTGTGTGTGTGTGTGTGTGTGTGTGCCGACCGTTCATATGTGTGTGTGTGTGTGTGTATGTGTGTGTGTGTGCCGACTGTTCATATGTGTGTGTGTGTGTGTGTGTGTGTGCGCGCGCAGGGCACACAGGGGCGGGATTCCCGGCCAGGGCCGGTGGGCGGGACGGGGAACAGAGGGCAAAGGACAGCTGATTATTGCTTCTGTCACCTGCTGTGGCATTATTCTTGCATTTTGTTGCTTTTGACAGGGTCTTGAATGTGTAGACCAGGCTGGCCACAAACCTGCAGAGGTCCACCAGCCCAAGATTTGTCTGCTCCCCAAGTACTGGGATTAAGCGTGCGTCAGCACACCTGCACTTTGGGGCATTCTTTTTTTTTTTTTTTTTTGGTTTCACGAGACAGGGTTTCTCTGTATTGTTTTGGAGGCTATCGGTCCAGCCCGGCCTCGAACTCACAGAGATCCGCCTGCCTCTGCCTCCCAAGTGCTGGGATTAAAGGCGTGCGCCACCACCGCCCGGCTCTTGGGGCATTCTTAACTCCACACCTTAGTTTTTTTACATTGTATTTTGTGTCTGTGGGGTTTTGCCTGCATGCACCGTGTGAGTACAGTGCCCCCTGGAGGTCAGAAGAGGACTGGAGGTACAACAGATGGTATTGAGCTGCCACGTGGGTGCTGGGAGTCAAACCTGGGTTCCCTGCAGAGCAGCGAGTGCCGTTAGCCTCTGGGCTGTCTGCGGCTCCATGCCTTGGTTCCTTTGGAAGGGTGGGCCAGCGTGAACCAACCGCCGGGTAACACCGTGTCTTTTCTCACGAAGTATCTCGCTGAGTCAGGGTCCCTAACTTAACCTCTTGCTTACTGCTGCTGGCCTGGCTTTCTTTCTCATGGCTGCTGGGGATCCAAACCCCTGACCTCATGCTTACGCCCCACCCACAGACCATCTCCCCAGCCCCCAGTTTTCTCTTAAGTGTTTTTGAATTGGGGCCTCACTATGTAGCTGTGGCTGGCCTAGAACTCTTTAGGTAGATCAGGCTAGCCTAGAACTCAGAGAGATCCACTTGTCTCTGCCTCCAAAGTGCTGGGAGAGGAGAAGCCCTAGGGGGTCAGTAGTGTTTTCCCAGGCGGGGGTGGGGGGGGTGGAGCCCGGGTACAGATTGTGGACTGTGTGCAGGTGCTGCCCTCTGCTGGTTAGGCTGTAAACCTGGGGGAAGGAGAAAATAGGGCCCTAGGAAGAAGGAAGTCTTGCTTGAGGCAGCAGAGGCTAAGTGTCCTTCTCCCTAGAGAGACCCCCCCCCCCCCCCGCCTCTTCTCTCTGCTCAGCAGTGAGTCTTAGAGAGTTGGTCATTCTTCCTTCAGGACGTGGAGCCCTCCTCCCCTGCTGCCTTGGCTGGCCTGCGCCCCTACACGGACTATGTAGTTGGCTCTGACCAGATCCTCCAGGAGGTAAGGGACCCATGGTGTGTGTGTTTCCCGGCCCCTGGAGGGGTGTGGACAGATGTGCTGTGCCTAGGTGTCTCGTTTGAGGCTCCCCTCAGACCCTGTCTCTCTCCTAGTCTGAAGACTTCTATACACTCCTCCAGTCCCACGAGGGGAGGCCCTTGAAGCTGATGGTGTATAATTCTGAGTCCGACTCCTGCCGGGAGGTGACTGTAACTCCTAATGCAGCCTGGGGTGGAGAGGGCAGGTACTGCCTGGGCTCACAGGGCTCACAGGGCTAGATGGGTGGGCTGGCCCAGTAGGCTTGGGCTTCCGGCGTCCCTTGGAGGGGGCAGCTGAACCCCAGAGTCCTGAGGTTTCACCCTGCCCCGGAATGCCCTTGTCCAGTCACGGTTGTGGGTGGGTGTGGTTTGGGTAGGGAGGGCTGTGTCGTGGTCGACCCTGACCGAGCGTTTCTGGCCTTGCACAGTCTGGGGTGCGGCATTGGTTACGGGTATCTACACCGGATCCCAACGCAGCCCTCCCGCCCCTACCCGAAGCCAGCTGGGGCCTCACCATCTGGCACTCCACCGGCCAACACTCCACAACTTAAGGCCTTGTCTCCTGGTACCCCACCCTCTTTGCCCGTCCTTCAGAACTCTTCTGGTCCAGAGTTGGGTTCCAGGCACAGTGACTACATGGAGGTATGCGGGGAGCACCTCTCAGGCCAGGGAAGTGGGGAGTATCTGGGGGCAGCGGAGCTGCCTGCCGGCAGTGTCTAGGGACCCAGGAAACCCTCCGCGTGGGCCCGTGAGGTTCTTGTGCCTGTAGGAGGCCTGTCCGCATCTGGTATGCGGTAGAAGCATCGAGCCTCTGCGTGGGTACAGTAAAACACGCTTGTGGCTCCACGGCCCTCGGGAGTGGAGGCCAGGCACTGGCGGCCATTTTGTGAGTGGGAAACTGAGGCCTAGAAATGGGCAGAACCTTGTGCTGCGGTGAGGTTGGGGACAGCCGAGCCAGTGTTGGACATGCTGGCACGGTCCCCATACGCACCTGGATTCAAGGGGCGCTCAGGGAACAGGGGTAGCGTTTGTGGATACCCAGAAATCCCTGGGAGTATCAGGAAGCCCGCAGGGTGTGTCTGGTGCCGGGAGTGTCTGGCCTGACCTCATCGCTCAGAGAAAGGAAGGGTGATGTTCGCAGTGCCGGCCGGGGTGGGCTGCAGTAAGGTTGGACCGAACAGCTGCTTCTGTACTGGGTCTGTATCGGCACCATCCTGACCCCCAACTATTTCCTCCCTGGTGTCTCTAGGCCCTGCCGCAGGTCCCCGGTGGCTTCGTGGAAGCGCAGCTCCTAGGGTCTGGGAGCCCTAGCCATGGTGCTGCCGACGGTGGGGGATGCGCGCGCTCCATGGAGATCCCTCTACAGCCTCCGCCCCCGGTGCAGCGGGTCATGGACCCAGGTATGGGGGGGCAGGCCCCAGAGGAGTCTGAGGCACCTAAGGCCCTGGTGCTGACACGTGCTGCAGGCTCAGGGTTACACTCCCCTAGCACTGCCCCGGCTTTCCTCAGGTCTGCTAACCTGTCATCTAGTCAAGAGTAGATAGAGGGGACGCTTGAGGTGGCTTCAGACTGAGGCAGCACAGGGCCTGAACCCACTGCCATGGTGTTCAACTCCAGGCTCCTTTTGTCCCTCAGGGTCAGGCAGCGGCAGCCTCCATGGGGTTAGGTGGAGGTGTTTGTGGGCCCAAGGGAAGCTAGGTGCTCTAGGACACGGCAGGGGAGACAGGCTCCCAGCTTCACGGGGCTATCCTCCCTCCCCTAGGCTTCCTGGATGTGTCAGGTATGTCTCTCCTGGACAGCAGCAATGCAAGTGTGTGCCCCAGCCTGTCACCCTCCACAGTGCTGACCTCCACAGCTCTGTCAGCCTCAGGACCAGAGGACATTGGTTCCAGCAGCAGTTCTCATGAGCGGGGTGGTGAGTGGCCTTCGGTGATGCCCCCTGAGAAACCCTGGGTTTAGGGAGGGCCGCCCTGAGACCCCACCCTCCACCAGAGCCTGGCTGCGGGGCAGTGGCAGCTGAGGTCTCCTCAGCACCACTTTCTCTTCCAGGTGAAGCCACATGGTCAGGGTCAGAGTTTGAGATCTCCTTCCCGGACAGTCCGGGGGCCCAGGCGGACCACCTGCCCCAGCTGAGTCTCCCCGACGGCCTCACCTCGGCATCTTCGCTGGAAGACGGGCTGTCTGCAGAGCTGCTGGAAGCCCAGATCGAGGAGCCAGCAGACACAGAGACCCAGGGGCCAGCCAGTCAAATTCAGGTCACCTCGGAGCCACAGCCTGGGCTGTGAGGAGGCTCCTGGGGACCTTGGTGTTGCTCAGCTTGTGTCTGTGTGGCTTTGGAGGCTGCAGCTCCCACTGAGGCCTGGGCTTTGCTAGCCTTTCCCCTAGGGTCCAGCCTTCACCCCGTCCACGGTCCCGGACTGAAGGGAAGCTGGGAGCAACACCGCAGCTTCTGCTCTGAGGCACAAGATGGAACCTAGGCGGCCTCAACGAGGGAGAGGCCGCAGGGCCCGGTCACGATTGAGTGTGAGGATGGGGTGAGGGACAGGAGAGGCTGTCTACCGGTAGCCCCACCTGTACTGAGGAGGGCCCGACACCCCAGTGTCCTTCCTCGTCCCAATCCGAATGCTGAAGGAGAGAGAGTATACTTGGCTACTTTGTTCTAAGTTGGAAAATTCTAGGCCCTTCACAGGGATCCACCTGTGCTAGTCATACTCCCACTACCCCCGGGGGTGGGGTACCACAGTGTCCTGTGACCCCCCTCCTGCCAGGCTCCACATACAGACAACAGGCCAGGTCTGGTGGGTATGCTCATCCCCACCATCAAAATCCCTTGCCCCGCCCCAGGAGAGGCTGGCTGAATATTGGAGAGTGGGGGTAGGAGGGGCAGTGTCTAGAACTCTAGGTGCCTTTAGTTTAGGGGCTAAGGCAGGAGAGGTTATGCACTCTGCAGGTGGCACGTCCCCACGCTGATTGTGGTAAGCTGCCTTTGGTCTTGTTTCTAGTCTCCATGTCCACAGACCGCTAGTAACTGTGTACAGCGCACTTAGGCTGTCAAGTCGAGGACTTTGTTCTAGGAAGCACAGGCTAAACCATGCGGCAGGCCAGGCCCCGAGCACTAGGAATACATTATAGTCAGGCCTGTGGGCAGGCCTCTGGTGAGTGCGGGGGTGTGGGCGTACAGCGGGGCACCTCACCTCAGTGCCTCACCCCCCCCCCGGCTGCCCTAACTTATAACTAGAAGGTTCTGGTCCCCAAGACCCGGTAAGTGGGGCAAGATGGATGCTGCTGTTGTTTCAAGTATGAACCCCAGACATTTCTTTCCTGTTAATCTGCTGTGAAGGAAAATGACAAGTGAAAAAAATAAATGTGTGAGACGCACAAAAATATTTTAACCAAAACTTTATTCTATACAACTTGAAATACAGACTCTGACCCTTTTGGCATTGCAGACTGTCCAATTTTATGGAAACTTCTTACTGATTTTGACTAGAGGGGAAAAAAAAAGGAACAACCATGCTGGGGGTAAGATCCACCACAGGGGCCCAACTTCCTGCGGCTTAGGGAAACCCACTTAGTGCATTGGCCCCTCGTGCAAACACTTCTGAGGGCTGGGCACCCCCTCCCCAACCCTATCTTTGAGTTCATAACTATCACTAAAAAATTTGCACCAAAAGTGCACTGTTGTGTCCGACACAGATAGCTAAAAAGGACTGTAAAAAAAAGCGGCCAGTTGCTCTGAGGAAGGGAGAACATTTTAATCCTTTGCTCACTCTGAGGGCGTGGAAGCCATGGCATGTCTTACTCCACAGCTAGCAGTGAGGGGACCCTGTTCTGCAGTTGTGCGGATTGATGCCTCATTTTGTAAGGGATGGACCTGGACCCGTCAGCTGTCCCCAGCAGAACCTGTGAAGATGTAGAAAAGAAAACCAGCCCTCCCCAGCCCCCGCCCCTGTGGGGACAGGCCGCACGGGAGGGAGGTGACTGGACTGGGATAAACTGCCCCTGAAGGCACGTGTGCTTCTGGCTTTGTTCAAGGCTTGTCTCCTGGAGAGTCAGGGACCACTATCTATGAGTGGGAATGACCTTGGCAAGAATCCAAAGTGTTGTCTGCCAAAGTTGAAGTGTTTATCCCCAATAAGTTAATATTCTGTACAAGATCCAAGTGAGTCTATGAAAGCTTTTGATTGTTAGACAGCAGAGATGTGGACGCAGGCACAGCAAAAGCCTGCGCATAAAACTGGAGAAACAAACACGGACCCCGATATAAATATCAAACCAACTGACTGTGAGATCTCTTTACTCTAACAGCACAAACTTCGGTCTTAAGTGGACAGTAACATGCTCACCCAGGGCGAGGCTGTGATTCCCGCTGAGGCTCCCTGTGAGGACCGGGTGCTGGAGGAAGGGCGGTGGCCACAGCTGTTGGGCTGTGGTGTGGCCAGGTTACTGTGGGACAGCGCTTCACAACACAGGTGGTGGCCTCCAAGTCCAAGTACTGACCGTCACCCTGGAGTGGCAGGTCTTCTACAGAGCACAGCTGAGACTCGGTGTTTCACAAGTAGCCGGACATGGTCATTCCTTACGAAATGGGCTGGCTCTTGAATTGTGTAACAGTGATGATTCCCATTAAAACAAAACTCTTACATGATGATGAAAACAACTTTTTTTTGGATAATGACAAATTTAGAGAAAGCCTTCATAAGTACTGCATGAGTGGAATGTACTTAGGAAATGCAGAACTCATGGGTTTGAAACTGAAGTGCAGTGACAGATGTGGCCCGCCGATGTTCTCTATCTAACAAGTGCTGAGCAGAGGCGGGCCCTTCAAAGGGAGTCAGCACAGTCTGCACGGACGGCCTGTCTGTTGTAGGTTCTCTGTATGCCTCGAAGGATGCCTTGGTCTTCTGTCCTCGCACTGAGTCCCTGGGGACACCTCAGTCTATGCATGGAGCCTGGTTCTATATTACATCTCGATTAGTCACTTCATCAATTGGCTGGTGGAGGTCCTGCTCCCCGTAGGGCTTGGTAGGCTTCCTAGGACTACTCGGGGCCACAGAGGAAGGTTGATAATAACCCAGGAGAGGCTCCTTCACGTGGACTTCTGCCGGTAATGGAGCGTGAGGTCCCCGCCACTCTTCCAGATGAAGTGCTTTACTGTTCGTAGGTCCATATTTGGGTCCAAAACCTGAACAGCCAAAGTGCAATGAAAAACTTCAACGTCACTAACAGCTAAAGGCACCCTTAACCGGGGACCTGCCAGGTGGCCCAGCTTGCTCCTCACTGCCTGGGACCTCTTCTGGCTTCCACACACAGGATCTGAAATAGGAGCTCTGCGTCTGGGTTGTAATTCATCTCTTCTCCACCCACCTCCACTCCAAAGTCTTTAACATGACAGGCACTACCCTGCAAATGAAGACGACCTTGCCCGTTAACCAGGCACAGCCCTACCGTGGGCGCCTCTCCCTGAGCTCCTCCCTCAGGTGAAGAGTAGCTTCGGGTATGCTGAAGAACCTTGTCAAAAGACTGGGCTCTTGAGAGCCTCTGGAAGCCGATGCCCACAGAGGCTGACAGCTTGAGAATCTAAGCACACATTAGTTACGTGCTGCGGACTTTCGGGAGATGAAGCAAAGTTCCTCAGGTCCACTCACCTGGTCCTGGCACAGAAGTTCAATTTTCTCCTCTGCCAAGGCGGCGATGTCATCCTCCTTTTCCTGCTCTGGCTTTTCGTTATTAGAAGAGCTGGTGGTTTGAGACTCATTGTCCAGGTTGATAATCTTCTCGTAGACATGTTCCATCACCTTCCGGACCTGCAGCATGTCACTGGCAGAGAGCCTGTCTCTACAAAAGACAATGACATGTTTTGATATCACAGCCTATTATTTTCATCGTGTCAACATCTAAAGAAATGTCACACAGACATCTGAAACCAATACATGTTTTCAGTCACTGTCTGTACCCATTTGAGAGTTGTTTGAGAGTTCAGATGGTGCTTTAGGGTTTACATACACAACAGCTACCTGCATTTTAGTCCTTCATGTATACTCCTGAAGCAAGGGCAGACCCGGGCAGACCCAGTTAACTGCCCAGGGCTCAGGGTCACTTCCCACTGCTGTGTCTTCAACTAGAAGCAGACCAGGCTAGACATGAAGACACAGGCTGCTCCAGACCACAAATCCAGCAGCTGGCTTGTCCTAAATTACACAACTAACGGCCCTTTCTTCCAGGTCCTCATCTCTGGTATCAGTCAACAGTCATCAGACCTCATAGCTACAGTTTAAACTCTTCAAGGATCCTGAGGTCCTGTCACTAAATCCACTCCAAGTGAGCCAGGCATTGGTGGCGCACGCCTTTAACCCCAGCACTCGGGAGGCAGAGGCAGGTGGATCTCTGTGAGTTTGAGGCCAGCCTGGTCTACAAGAGCGAGTTCCAGGACAGCCTCCAAAGCCACAGAGAAACCCTGTCTCAAAAAAAACAAAAAACAAAAAACAAAAAAAACAAAACAAAACAAAACAAAAAAAAAAAAAACAAAAAAAACCCCAAAACGACTCCAATATTAAGTGACCAGTGTGTGCACTGGCAGTGGTGAGGCCGGCAGATGAGCATTTAGCCTCATGGTGGTCAATCCTCAAGTGTCTGATTGGCCAGTGGGAAAGGGTGCCCCTGTGTGAGCTCAGGAATCCTGGTGACAGTTTAACAGCCCTGCCGGTTTCACTGTATACGTACTGATCATGGTGCAGTTTTCCTTGCTGGCCCCAACTTCTCTGCCATAAGCCTCTCTTGGAGCCTCATCTACCTATCAGGAATTTCTGGTGGTATGTCACGGTGACCTGGCATTCAAATTCAGTCATGAAGCCTCTAACGCGTCATGTCTCCCTGCTCTACCCTATATGTGGGGACACGCATCCACATACTCCTTTCTGGTATCCTCAGCCTGTCCCTGCTGAGCAAGTATGTCTTTGGCCAGTCCACCCATCTGTCTGTGTTCAGGTGATTCCTCCTTCCTGGAACCTCGCAGAGCTATGCTCACAAGCTGGTTACCCTGTTCTCTTTACTCCCTAAGGGTCTGTAAAGGCAGCTACTATACACAGATTTTGTCCTAAATGGAACCATGTGGTTAGAGACAGGGTCTCTCATGCTCTGGAACTGATGCTCCTCTGTCCACCTGCTAAGAACTGGGATTACAGGTGTGTGCCATCACACACGGCCTACTTGGTCTTGCGTCTCAGCTGGCCTTAAACTCACTGCATTGCCCAGGCTGGCCTCTTTCCCACCTCTGCTTCAGAGTACTGAGACTCCAAAGGCATGAGTCAGCAATTATGGGCTAAGCTAAATTTTGACAGGAGACAAACCCCATAATAATCAGACCTGGCACCTGTCTCCCTTGTAAGGCAGTTACCATAGGGACAGAGGCGTCTGCAGGGACTGGAATAAGGAAGAGCAATAGTTACTTACTTTTTTAAAGTTTTTGCTCCTGAAGATGCATGAGGTTGGAGGTAGAAAGGAATTTTGTTGAATTTGGGCATATTTTTCTGAAATATTAAAAGTTTAAGAGGTATAATAGTTTCTATTAGCTGATAAAACTAAAATGCTGTCAACAGGAAAACATGATTTACAAATAACTACTTTTACAATCAAATGACTTTGTAATTTTCAGTAAGTTATCAACTGAAGCGGGCCTTAAGAGAAAATTTATCAGCAGTATGGTGTTTAGTTTGTAATAAAAATAGATGAAGACAAATTATATATAATATTAGTCTTTGTGGCATGGCTTTTCTAAAAATATTACAAAGCATTTCGAGAAAACAATCCTACGATTTTAAAGCTGCAGGAATCAGAGCACTAAAGCCTAAGTGTCTCAAGAGAGGCCGAGGATCTCCTATCGCCTCCCTCTGCCAGAGACAGGTCTACCATGAAGAAAACCCCCATTCTCAAATGATGGCTGAAGTCCTCTGGTCAGCTCTCTCGGGGCACAAGCCATGCCACAGTGTCAGTTAATGTATCTGGGTCAGTTCTACACCCCAAGGAAGCGGTGGTTTATGGGAAGCTTGGACACTCAAAGTCACAGAATACCCACCAGGTGTTACACTGGCTCTAAGTCCTTGGGGTGGTGTGTCTGGGGTAGAAAACAAATTTTCTAAAGTTTTAAGAGATTAATTCCCTTTTCATATGGCTTTAGGATATACAAAGTAGTCAAGAGGACATAAAGTCTAGAAACGGACCGAGCCAGTGTCTACAGTAGTGCACAATAAAGACAGCATTTCAGATTAGTAGAGACAGGACAGACCCCACAGACTGCTTAGTTCTTTGGAAAAGTTAGAGTCTTACCTCACACCAAACAGAAGCAAATAACAACAGATTAAAGAGCCAGGCAAGAAAGCGAAAAGGTAGGGAGAGCTCAAACGAGGAGACCGCCCCACCCTATTAGGATCTACCTATCAAGATATGGGACTCAGAGCCGTGACACAGCAATTTGATATACACAAGCTAAGTTTCCACCTGGGAAAGAACCTTGAACAAAGTAAAAGTTTAATGAAGGCACAGAGGAGGCAGGTTAATATGCAACGGAAGATCACCTACAAGTCAGTAAGACGAATGACCCAATTAGAGGAACAGCAAAGAACACTAACAGGCAGGTCATGGAGAGAGACGAATGGCCAATATGAAAAGACTCAGCCTCACCATGAATAAAGAAAAATTCACACCAAAGTCATCAGACAGTATGTGCCTACTGCACAGCAAAGTGACGTGTCCAGTGTTGGTGTGGCTGTGGGAACTGGGCATCCATACACTGTTGGTTCAGAAGTAAATTGCCTTTGTGAAGGGCAATTTGGCGTTATCTATCAAAATTTAAAATGTGCATACCCTTTGATCCAGCAATTCCACTTCTAGGAATTGATCCTAAAAAGCACACAAAGATACATGTACAAGGGCGTTCACTGCAACACTGTTTGCAATAGAAAACACTGGAAACAACCCGCGTCCATTAAATAAGGGGCTGATCAAATAGAGAATGCTTCATTTACACAACAGAACAGGGTGCAGTCATTTAAATGGAATAGTCCGTAAGTATAGGCATGAACAGCTGTCCAAGACACAGTTTTAAGTAAAAAAAGTTGCAGAACACTAAGAGATTTTGTGCAAAACAAAACGACCTACGCTCACACACGCACACAAGGCACACACGCTTGTGTAGGGAAGAAAGTGGCAAAGACCACAGCAACTACTAGGTGTCCTCTGGGAGGAGGGCGGGGTGAGGGGGACGATGGATGTAAGAGGTGGGCATTTCACTCCAAACACCATTATCATAGAGAATAAGCATATATCATCCTTATTACTGAAACCCGACAAGTACAAATTGATACGGAAACAATTATCAGATGCATCTGCAACTTGGGAAATTCAGGAAAGCAGAGGGTTCCACTTGGCAGGCGACTTTGTTACAGTTTAAGACTGCGCTGTCTAAGACAGTCCTTAAGGTCGAGGTCTGGGAGGAGTCTAAGGGCGGAGTGGGAGTGGGAGGCACTTACATCCACAGTGATGTCAATTACCCATTGTGGCACTGTCTCATTGAGAAGCATTGCCTCCGTCTCGCCCCCGGAGTCCCGGCAGAGCAGCCTAGACACAACCGTCAGGTAGTCAGTGTCATGACAAGCAAGGGGACACCACAGAGGAACCCTCACAGTGCTCACTGACACAGCAGAGCTGACAGCAGGGCGGGGAGTCCCGGGTCACCACAGGGAGCACTCAGCAGAGAGCGCGGCCAGTGCCACGGTGGAGGGCGCAGACTTGGCCCACAGTGAGGGTTCCACTGTGGTTGCTGCACTTAGGAACTCTCCCCAAAGAAGGAAGTCTATACTCAGGGCCAAGGCAAACGTCTCCTCACATCTGACAACTATGTGAACCTAATGCCCCTTGCCCAGCCCCACCACAGCTGTGCTGGGAGCAGGGGTGAGCCACAGCAGCCTCCCTTCCTGGAGGGCCCAGAGACAACTTCCTGGAAGCCCAGGATGAGCCGGTGCGGATCACAAGTTCCCAGGAGCAGCCCAGCCCAGTTCCCTGGGCGTCCATGCTACCTCATCTCTGCCCCTGGCAGGCGGTCACACTGGTAAAGTGAGGGACAGTACCACCAGAGATGCTGCCTGGAGGCAAGCATCTGAGGGGCGGGGCGGGGCGGGGCCTGTGAGTCTCAAGTTGGCCCTCTATATCGGCACTCAGTGCACCAGGCATTTAACTATCTCAAGGATGGAAAAGCCAATTCCAGACACTCTTAGAAGATAATAACACACTGCTCATGTCTGAGCCAGCACTTCTGAGCAAGAGGGTTAGTCTGTCAAGCAAGGTTTTTCTTAGGCAGGGCCTCTGGTCCTTCTCATCCATACCTGAATAGTGTGCGACCTCCAGCTTCGCCAAAGATCACCGGGGTGTGGGGGGGCACTTGGAAATACCCATTTCCCTTCTGGACTCTGCTGTCCTGCTCCCCACTCACTAGGAAAGATAGGCAGGCCGTCAGTGCTGAGACCACAGCTTCCAAACACTCATCACAACACACTGTAAACATCCCAGCATTTTAAAAGTAAAAATGGCTCAGTGGTTAAGAGCGCTGACTATCTTCCTGAGGAGCCAGGTTGGTTCCCAGCACCCACACAGTGCTTTACAAACACTGTAACTCCAGTTCCAGGGACCCGACACCTCATATGGCCTCCATGGGCACTAGGCACACAAATGTTGCTCATACATACAAGCAGAAAAACACTGATACTAATCAAATTAAAAAGAAATCAAAAACAAAAATGCTGTTACTCAGCTAGAGTTAGAAAAACAGGTGGAGGAGGCTGGAGACGGCCCACAGGTGAGAGCTGGCTGCTTTTCCAGACGACCCAGTCCAGTCCCAGCACCCAGGCTGCTGTAATGGCAGCTCCGGGGATCAGATGCCCTGTCTGGCCTTCACATGCATACGTGCTGCACACATAAAGAACTTTTAGGTATTAGTAATAAAGGTAAAAAAGGAACAAACATTCCACCCCTGAAAATAGGAATTCAGTATTTTATACTGGCCGTATTTCACAAGATCTTACCAGAAATCCAGCACAGAACCCACTGTGAAACACAGCCCCTTCCAGAGGGTCTAATACAAGATAAATGTAGATGGCTCAGTGCCCGCCCTGCAAACTGATCAGAGTGGCACAGCCTGTCACCCCAGCACTTGGGAGACAGAGGTGAGAGGAGCTCTGTCACCTGTGAGACAGCTTGGACTACAAACAGAAGGGAGCGGAAACATTATCTACAAACAGGTGTCTTGCTGGGCAGTGGTGGCACACACCTTTACTCCCAAGACTCTGGAGGCAGAGGCAGGCAGATCTCTGAATTTGAGGCCAGCCTGGTCTATGGTGTGAGTTCCAGACAGCCAAAACTACACAGAGAAACCCAGTCTTGAAAAGCTAAACCAAAAAAACAACAACAAAAAACCCCAGGTGTGTTAACAGTCCCTGTACAGAGGCAGCTGGTGATGCTTGTTTTGTCCTTTTGTTGTTGTAGGGACTAAAGATGTGCACCACCACCACACGGCATGTTTCTGTTTTGCATATCAAACATGGGGTTTCTTTCACCTGCGAGACTCACACCCCACAATGGTCTCATCTCCTGCAAGCTGTCTCAATCCACGGGACACTCTCACTCAGGCGCAGACAGGAGACAGTTAACTGTGCACACCACAGACACGCTCCAAGCAGCTCCTGCTTTCCTGAACACACACACTAACCATGGTTCACTTCATTCTCGTCTTCGTCCATGGGAGTCACATGCGTTCGCGGCCAGTACTCAAGGAGAGCCTGTAGGAGAAGTCCTCCCAAATTCACTGCAAGTTGACAGGAGAAACATGGAGAGTTTGTTATCTCTGGGCTAAGAGAGGGAAAGACGCCTGAGGAGCAGAAGCACAGGCAGGGCAGGCCATCCACGGGGCAGTGCGGGGCACCCGAAGGCAGGGGCAGAAGCACAGGCAGGGCAGGCCATCCACGGGGCAGCACGTGCTACTGTGCTGGAGTGCGCATGCTGAAGCTCCCAACCCAGACCAGAGACAGGCAGGCTCAGCGTCTGACCTCAAGTCTGAAATGCAGGGATTCTGCACTGCTCTTCAGCAGTCACGCACTCTTTCCTTTTTGCAGAGACAGGGTTTCACACTGTAGCTAAGGCTGCCCTGGAACTCATGCAATTCTCCTGCCTCAGCTTCCCAAGTGCTGGGACTACAGGTATGAGCCACTGTGCCTGGCTTAGCTATTCTTTTTTTTTTTTTTTTTTTTTGGTTTTTCGAGACAGGGTTTCTCTGTATTGTTTTGGAGGCTGTCCTGGAACTCGCTCTTGTAGACCAGGCTAACCTCGAACTCACAGAGATCCGCCTGCCTCTGCCTTCCAAGTGCTGGGATTAAAGGCGTGCGCCACCAACACCCGGCTTAGCTATTCTTTAAAATACAAAATAACATGATGCTATTTGCAGAGACACTCCCCTGAAACCAGAAACACTATCTGTATACATGTGTTGATTTCTGCACGGCAAAATCTTAGAAGAATACTGAGTGAAGATACAGTAAGTACTGGGTAGTAATGGCATACAATTTTGATTCCAGCACTTGAGAGGCAGAGGCAGGGAGATCTCTGTGAGTTCAAGGCCAGCCTGGTCTACAGAGTGAGTTCCAGGACAGCCAAGGCCACACAGTGAAATCTTGTCTCTCAAAAACAAAAACCCAAACCAAACCAAATAACGGGGGTGGGGGGTGGGCGGCGGCGGCAGGGGGGCAGTTACAGAGATGATTAGCCAGCAGTCCCTGCCTAGATTCCCCTTCTTCAATAGAAAACACTTAACTCACATTTTGGGTCTGACCCGTCGGGACTGCTGAAGCCAGCATCTTTCGCAGAAACCCAGGCAGCAAAGCAGTCACTTTCATCCAGGGTAATTGTCAGCATCTGTCAGAGGCAGCAGTGTCTGTCAGCGGCACTCCCTCCCTCCTACGGCTCCTCAACTTGCATGCATCCGCACACTAGACTAAGGCGGTAAACCATGCTTCGTGGGACCAATGCAGCTATGGCTCACTTTATTCAAGTGCCAAAGGCTTGAATGATAGTTTATTAACAAGGGGGAAAAGAGCAATTGAACACATTAAAAACATTAAACTCTGTAAGAATAGTTAGGGATCTTCAATTATCCAAAATTATACAAATACTGTCAACTCACCCCTGTTTTTAGATCTACTGAGAACCAATTTGGAACGTACACCATTTTAAACCTCTTCTTAATTTCGTCTTCAAAGTCCACTTTGCCCAGATCCTCCACTTTGCATGCCTGCACAGGGAAGCACCACGGTTAGCATGAAGTAGGGACCACTGCCTGACCTTCACACTTGTTCACATAATTCTAAAGCACATCTCAGGAAGAAGAGAGCCAGGTGGATCTCTGTGAGTTCAAGGCCAGCCTGGTCTACAGAGGGAGTTTCAGGACAGGATCCAAAGCTACAGAGAAACCCTGTCTTGAAAAACCAAAGAAAGAAGAAGAAGAAAAAAAGAAGCAGAGAGCCAATTCTTTTATCCTAAGGCCTTTGAGTCACCACCTGTTAGCAAAGTTTAAATTAGTGAGTGGAGAGATGGCTCAGTGGTTAAGAACACTGCTGCTCTTGGTGAGAGCATGGGCTCAGCTGCCACAGAAGTGCATGTGAGTGCATGAGCAAGCTTGGACAGAAACCTCTGTCTTTCTCCCAGTGCAAGACAAAGATGCCCTTCTGGTTGTGTTCTGGTTCTCCCTTTCTGGAAACTTGTAAAGTCTCCCCTCCACCCTGTAGACCAGGTTGGCTTTGATTTCAGAGATCCACCTGCCTCTGCCTCCTGAGTGCTGGGATAAAAGGTGTGCACCACCAACGCCAGGCTGGCAACTTGTATATATTTGGTAGTTTCCTGTCCCCACTGGATTCTCCTCAGGAGTATCCTCAGTAGTTAGGTTTAAAATTCTTCTACCCTAAACACAACTGAACACACACACGCACGCACGCACGCACACGAAGGCTTTAAGGTGACATTCCTTTCTTCACTGCAGGCACACTGAACCCACTGGCTGCTGCCTAGAGGGCTCCCCCCAGAGACCTCCCTTATGGTTCACTCAGTTCCTGTCTGAAAACCGCATTTGTCCTTGAGCTGTCATTGGCTCCTGGCTTTCTTACTCATCCTTGTCACACACTAGTGGCTTTCTTCTAACACCTCTGACAAGAATGATGGCCCAGTTTGTTTTCTTCATGGTCATATTTCTTGGAAGTCTTGACGAATCCCATGACATCATCTGTAACCCCCATGCTAGGGCTACTGTTTTTTTTCCTGTTTTCTTGAGACAGGGTTTCTCTGTGCAGCCCTGGCTGTCCTGGAACTTGTTCTGTAGATCAGGGTGGCCGTGACCTCCGAGACTCACCTGCCTTTGCCTTCTGTGTGCTAGGTTAAAGGTTGCACATGGCCCAGCTTGTTGCAGCCTACGCTGTGGACTGCCCAGCTGTCTGCCCACCCAGACACACCACACCCGCCACTCTACCCTGACGGCTGCTCTGTCGTCTTCTACCTGTACCGTGTCACCCACAACGGAGCCCAGGAGTCCTCTCACATCTTCCTTCCTCACACTCTCCGCTCTCTTTCCATCCTGTTTCCCGCCCATTTCGCTGTAGCAGATTCCTATGTGTGAGCCCTACGTTGCATGGCTCTGAAATATGCCCTCGACAGCATCAAGAAACGGGTGATGAGCATTTTGGGATGAAGCCACAGATTCAGTAGTGGAGCAGGTCATGTGACTGGCCACTGACTATGGACTAGGACACAGCTCTGCCCATTCCTCCATGTCCCCAGGCTTCCCTGACTTCTCTACCCTCTTAGGGTTAATGTCAGACCAGGTGACTTTGAAACGTCCTAGGTTCAGTATCTGGGCATGGGAAGCTGTTCACAGCGGTAACAATATGTGCACTGGCTCGGAGCTCCACCCAAGTAGAACTGTACCCACTCAGATAGTAGGGCTCTACCGAGAGCAGCTAACCAGACCAAAGCGGGCGACAGAACCACATAGAAAACTACCAGCCCAGCCTTAGAGATGCTGGTCTGACAAGACTTGGGTACTGTGGTTATAGTCAGTGCAGGACAGCATGGCCTAGGTCCACACAGGGCGACCAAGGCTTCTCTGGGTCTGCCCAGTTCCTGTGGAACCCACTGTGAAAGAAAGGACAGGACAGGGCAGCTCTCCCTACACTCAAGGGACTATCCAGACTAAATGCCAATAGCATAAAGGAGAACCCTGACGGAGCCCTTAAAGCAAGGCAGCCTTTCATACAGTTGCCAATACTGTAACCATGGGAATAGTTGAGGTGCTTACAAGGTAAACCACCACATCTTCCTATATCTGGAGTATCCCCCCCCCGCCCAGATAAAGTACTATTGCAAAAAAAAAATTTGGGTTATCATGTACAAAGGAAAACTAAGGGGAATGCGTGACTTACAACCTCTAATCCCAGACACTTACCTTCAACACGTCCCAGTATGCCACATTGTTATTTGTATCTTTGGTTAGTATATGTCTCTTATCATTGAGGATGTGGCATTGAATGATACTAGCGCCCCCTACAGGAGAAAAAAGGTACAATTGGAATAATGTAGCACCAATACCACAGTGCACACTCTGGAGCTGGCTCTCCTTCCCACCTTTACAAGGGTTTGGAGCACAGACCCCAAGCTGTCAGGCTTGGGCAGCAAGTACTGAGTCAGCTGGCCCGGCTTCCTCGCCGTCACAACTCCTGACTACAGGGAAGAGCTAGGGAGCCTAACCCTAAGTGCTAACATGAAATACACTTAGACAAGACTAAAGGTATTTTACACTACTGCGTTGCAGAGTAAAAAATGAACTTGAGAACAGTGTCAAAACACAGACGGCATACTGAAAGCAGAACGTGTTCTGTCCTGTTTGCAGCAAACAGTACTGGAAGACCCTGGCAAATACAAGGCCGACACAGAGACCCACAGTTCTCACTCATACAATGCAAACACACAAAGCCATCATGACGCCTGGGGAAGGCAGCACTGGAGGCTGGATCTCCTCCGAGGCACTACACAAACCCCTCATCTGTGCCATAATACACAATACTTAAAAAAAAAAAATCAAAACCACAAACTACAGCCCATGCATGTGGGCCCCGCTGAAGCACTGATGGGAGGCAGTAGGTTATTAGAAAGATCATGCATGAAGATGAGAGGGATGTGTTGAGACGCTGTCCAGGGAGTGGACAGGATGGAAAGACATGGATGAAACTACCAAAGAACAAACGAAACACCCTCACAACCCCCATTTTCTCACCCCAACTTTCTTGTGCTAATAACAAACCCACGTTACTAGCCTTCCGTCTGTAGCAGCACTGCATTTAAAGAAAGGCCAGCCGGGTGTTGGTGGCGCACGCCTTTAATCCCAGCACTCGGGAGGCAGAGGCAGGAGGATCTCTGTGAGTTCGAGGCCAGCCTGGTCTACAAGAGCGAGTTCCAGGACAGCCTCCAGAACAATACAGAGAAACCCTGTCTCGCCCCATTCCCTCCATCTCCACCCACCTCCCGCCCCGGGGGAAAAAGGGAAAAGGGAAAGGGGAAAGGGGAAAGGGGAAAGGGGAAAGGGGAAAGGGGAAAGGGGAAAGGGGAAAGGGGAAAGGGGAAAGGGGGAAGGGAAGGCCACCACTTCACCAATCTCTTATTCCCCGTAGGTTCATTACCAGTGTGTGCTTGCCCGTGGCCTTCTCACCTTTAATAACCTGGTCGGGCTGTGTGCAGAGGGGCGTTATGGGATTTGTACAGTCGTTGTCATAATCACCAGAGGCTCGGAAATTATGAATTCCCTTCAGTGTCTAAAGGAACAAAATTATCATGTCATCATTTTATGCTCACCAGGCTTGTTAATCTGAACCAAGTGACGAGAATGATGCAGTTGCAGAACTAGGAAAGACTCAGGTAGCACAGCTGTATCAGGGCGGATCAGTCACAGCAGGGAGCCGGGGGCAAACCAAGAGACCCCCAACAAATATTCCTGAGGGAATGCCTTTTTTTTCTTTTGAGACTGAGACAGGGTTTCTCTGTGTAGCCCTGGCTGTCCTGGAACTCACTCTGTAGATCAGGCTGGTCTTGAACTCACAGAGATCCACCTGTTTCTCAAAAACAAGACAAAACAAAAACAAAAACCAAACAAAAAACCAAGGCCCCTGTGGTGGTTTGAATGAGAACTGCCCCTACAGGCTCATCTACTTGAATGTTTGGTCCCCTATTAGTGGAAGTGTTTAACAAGGAGTAGGAAGTGTGGTCTTCCTGGAGGCCCACTCTGTCTGCAACGTCTAGACAAGATGTGAGCTCTCAGCTACAGGTACCATACAGCCTGTGTGGTAATATCTTGCTTGTCTGGGGGTCAGAGAATGGATCGTACCATGAGCTAACCATAGAGGTCTGGAGGTCTGTGCAGACAGGCAGGAAGTGAGGTAGCTGGGCAGAAACAGGATATAAGCAGGGAGAAACGGGAAATGGATCTCTCGTCTGCTGAGATGCTAAGGAGGTAAGGTGTGCCGTGACTTGTTCCTTCTCTCTGATCTCTCAGCGCTTCCCTCTGTATCTGACTCCGGCTTTTTATTGTCTAGACCAATTAAGGACTCCATTTATGCAGGGCGTTGGTGGCGCACACCTTTAATCTGAGCACTCAGGAGGCCGAGGTAGGCAGATCTCTGTGAGTTCAAGACCAGCCTGGTCTACAAGAGTGAGTTCCAGGACAGCCTCCAAAGCTCCATTTACAGGCCTGCCACCATGTTTTCCACCCTGATGGTCATGGTAGTCTGAATGTAAGTGACCCCATAAACTCATAGGGAGGGGCACTATTGGGTGTGGACTTGTTGGAGGAAGTGTGTCACTGTGGGTGCGGGCTTTGAGGGTTCCTATGCTCAAGCCATGCAGAGTGAGACAGTGAGTGTCTTGCTGGCTTCTGACCAAGATGTGGCCAGCGCCATGTCTGCCTGCGCATTACCACACCCGCCTCCATACGCTAATGGACTGAACCTCCGCAACTGTAAGGGGAATGGTTTCCTCATAAGAGGTGCTGTGCTCATGGTGTCTCTTCACAGCAATAGAAACCTAACTAAGACAATGGTCATGCACTCAACTCTTTAAGTAAGCCCCATTTAAATGCGTTCTCCTGTTTAGCTGCCCTGGCATTTATCACAGCAACAGGACGTAAGCCCCAAACAGCGCACTATTCCAGGAAGATCCTCACTGACGGGCACGAGAGCACAGCCGAGCTCTGAAGCCACCTGCACACAACCGTGTCCTCTAGCTCCCAGAGTCAGCTATGCAAAAAGCTCCACCCCTAAAGGAGCTGGCACTAGGGAGGACCCGGATGCTGAGATCCTTCTCTACTGCTCTCCGTGCCACAGAGAGGAAATGACTCAGAAGCCAGCTTCCTGCTCTATGGCCGGTCTACTTCATTCCTTCATGTGTTTAACTGAAAGACCACTGCACATGCCTAGTCTCAGGTGCAGCTCACAAGGCTAAAAGCTGTCTAATCTGACAGCTGTCATCAGGCAGCAGTCTGTTCTAAGTACGTAAGCACATACCCTCGTTGCTAACAGAAAGAGAAGCTTAATTTCACCCATGAATTTCAGAGTTACTGTCACTCTCAGGGATCATTCCTGAATTCACAGGGGCACTAGGACAAGGCCACACTGAGTCAGTCACTGCTGCTGGAAACTGGCACATCTGGGACAGCAAACCAACCACGTCTACAGAGTTGCCACGAGCATGGCCACACACTTACTTACCCACTTATTTACTGTGGACTTTGTTGTCGCGACCCAGACTGCAGGAGGGGGGTCTGCTGATCTGTCAAGCTCCATCTAAAACCAAACACAAAGCCGTCTTCGCCAAGGGCTCGTGCCTCGGAGCCGCTAGCCCAGAGATGGGCTATCGGCCCAGTGACACAGCAGGGAGTGTCAACTCCTGTTAACTCTAGCCCGCCTGCCTGCACAGGCTTCCAGCAGGGAAAGGGTCTCCACTAAAGGAGCTCAGTCTAGTAACATGGCGAGCCACCTGCAGCTGCTCACCTGTGCATGTGCACACGCACGCACACATGCACGCCATTGTGCTTTTAGAATCTCGTAAGTCAGCCATGCTGGTTTGAACTCATGACTCTCCTGCCAACAGTTGGATTACAGACAGGCACCACTGTGGACAGGCTCAAGATTTTAATTGAGGTTAACTGTTGGGACCCAGGTAGACAGTCAAAAGGGTGAGGATTTCCTAGAACAAAAGCAACACTCTGATCTGCTATTCCAGTTTTTGTATCGTGAGTGTGTGTGCTTCCAGGTGCTTCTCTCCAGTGTGTGGGCACTCTGTGCCACCTTCGTCAGCTGCTGCCCCCAGCACCTGCAGTGCTCACAGGACAGTCTCCTCCATGCTTGTCCTCTCCACAGCCTTAACGCTCTGCTTCCCTAGAGGAGGTGAGCTGCCATTCAGGGGCCACCTACAGAGTGTCTTCTGCTCACACTGGAGCCTCGTCAGCAGGGCTGCTTGCAGGCAGTGTGGCAGTCTGAAGCAGGGGCCCTCCTCCTGCAGGGTTCTTCCACCCCTAACTGCAGGGGCTGGGGCCTTATCATCCAGGCCTCATGGCCTTTCTGTCTGCTCAGACACCGCCAGCTGCTCACGCTCTTCCTAAGGACAGGGCAGGAGAGCCATACAAACTCAGCAGCATGCCTGACACAGTGACACTAGGATTTACCAGTAGGAAAGCCATCCGTGCACTAGTGATGTACTCTGGAAGTCACCTTGCTCAACTGGCCTCAGGGTCTACACTGACTCTTTCCTACCCTATTGAGGATGGAGGGGTCAATGTTTAGCGCAAGCTCTGTGGCATTTGCCTAACCAAGCTCACAGCTTCAGTTGGAAAACTCAACACACCTTGAGAACTGGTGCTTTTTCTTCACAAATCAGCACCCGAATGTCAGGGTTTCTTAGGTCTGTGCAGTAAATCTTCCTGTCCCTTCCTCCAGAATATACATGTGTGAAGGCATCGTTGACTTGTAGAGCCCAAACGCCTTCATCGTGGACTCGGTACGTTGCTATACACCTCTGCTGGCCCAGGGACCACAGGCGAATCGTCCCGTCAGAACTCCCAGAGAGACACTGTCAACAGAGAAGACAAGGGGAGAGTGCTCCCAGGAGCACGCCAGTCTAAGACGATCAGACAGCGTACGTGCTCCGGCAGGAACACCTGTGTAAACGTGTCCTAGTCCTCTCTACGCAGCCACCTGCTGCTGCTTCTGTAAACCCTGTAAACAGTGAGTTGTGCCCAGATGCTGAAGGCAAGGCGGTGGTGACCTCAGGACCTGAAGCCATCATCCCTCGGAACTTATTAAAAACGTAAACTGTCAAGTGCCATCCAGACCCAGGAGGCAGGGCCACAGCAGCTTCCCAGGTGGCTCCCGTGCTCTCTGGCTGACAGCACTGCTCCAGGCCAGAGGCCTTTTGGGATCCTGGGTCACAGCTGTGCCACCCTCCTGCTCATGGCTTATGTCTGGTGCTGACAGGAATCAGGAGCCAGGTCTAGCCAAGGACTGCACTCACTCACTCACTCCCTGTAATCCTGAACAATTCTCACAGAGCTGACCGTTTCTCAAGGTTCAGGAGAAGCAACTACTAATGAGTGCACAGAAACAGGCTGAATGAGTCACCTGCATCCACCCGGGCACGCTCAGTGTTCCTGAGCGGTTGCTGTGACTACATGAAGGGAGCGTAAGAACTTCATTTCCCGGGAAAAGGATGGTCCCGGGGATAAAGCAATGGCGGGTGCGGGAGCATGAGACGAACAGAGCAGCTGTGGGCCTGGCCCTGGGTGGTTCTTAAGTGAATGGCGGCTAAGCCTGTTAGCTGTTTGCCCTCTGCCTCTTGGTTTTCAGGAGCCTGTGAGACTGTGGGCAGGACTAATTACACGAACAGGGAGTAGAAGACGTCCTCACTAACTGCCAGGAGCACCAGAAATTGAATCACAACTAGTTCACTAGGGAACAACTGATCCAACCTGGGTGACAGAGACCTCAGACATCCTTTGGAACAGGGCCAAGGAGGGGCTCCCTATACCAGAAGATGCTACTCTGAGGTGGCAATTCTCTCAGGAAAGCCCCAGTCCCCTAGATCCTAGGGCATACGCTCACTGACAACAAGGTCTGGCAAAGGCGACGCTCTGGAGGCCCACACAGCTGAGGCAGCAGAGGGAGCGCACAGGTGGGAGCGGAGAAGGCACAGAAGTCGTGAACCATCTCCACAGCAGCCACAAAGAACAGCCACTGCCGCCCTGCACAAGGCCAGGTTCACAGTGCCCCGTACTGTGAGCACCCTCCCTACTCCAGGTCCCAGATGATACCCGCTGTCCTACAGGAGTCAGCAGAACCAACACAACACTGCACTCTCCGTCTTCACCTCTCTCTCCTTCCACTGGCTAAAAATGTGAGATGTCCAACAAGACATTATTTCAGACGAATGCAATGCCCCGTATTGTTCTGCTAAATCAGACTTACTCAGACAGATCATCAAGTCCAACCAGACATTCCTGGTCTCCTGTGTGTGGGGACCTGACTACCATTGGAAAAGTTGCCTGATGCTGTGATCCCAGACCCCTAAGTTAGGTTTGGGACTTGAGTCACCAGAAAAACCATGCAGGTGACAGACAGCTATCCTAAGAGCCAACAGGTAGCTTGGATGTATAGAACGAGCCCTACTGATGTCACTGCTTATGTTAAATCTCTCGCACAGAAGTACAGTATAAATTACAAAGAGGAAACAGGACAGACTGCAGTGGCTAGGAAGACCTTTAGGCCTTCTAGCCCACGGCTGAGACTTAACCCTACAGACACACAGCCAACAACACAGCTGCCCAAGCCAGGCGACCATGGGACCCTGCACTTAACAGCGAAGCTTCCTTCTGCTTACAAAGCCAGCACTGCCAGCCGTGTGGACCTCAGTGCTGCCAAACTGCACACACCTGCATCAGGCCAGCGCTACGGAGCCTTCTTGTTCTGCCTTCAGTTAGGACAGCAAAGTCCTTCTATGTGGAGCACTATAAGTGAATCGGTGTTTTCACTGTTTTATTCATGTATTTAGAGAAAGGGTCTTACATTAGAACCCTATATTCACTATCTAACACAGGCCGGTCTTAAACTCAATGTAATCTTCCTGCCTTAGTCTCCAGAGTCATTGGATTGCAGCTACCACACCCAGCTGGCAACTGAGTTTTTTTTTTATCTTTTAAAGAATTGTTTTATTTTTAGAAGTATGAGTATTGTGAGTAATGTCATGTGTGTGCAGTGCCCACAGAGAACAGAAGAGGGAGCCAGATCCCCCGGAGCTGGAGTTAACGGAAGGCTGGGAACAGCTGGGAATGAAACTCCAGTGCTCTAAGCACTCAGCCACAATGCAGCATTCTAAAGACCGAAGCCTTGTGCCGAGGCCATCGGCTGAGCTTGCACACAGCTCCTACCTGTGTGCCGTCCCTGTTCAGCAGCAGGGCCTTCACGTTGTCCGTGTGTCCTTTCAGCTTCATGAGTTTCGCACAGGTCCTTGGGTCCCACACTCTCAGAACCTGCGATTTTTACACAGCATTACACAAACCAAATGCAGACACAACAGGCTTCTGAAAGCTCCCGACTTTCATATCAAACGCCTACTATTAACTGCTGAGGGGTGAGCGCTGCTGCAGCCAACGCACGCTGTCCATGGCTGCCAGGCTTCAGGACACCTTCCTAATGCCCAAGTCACACAGTGCCCATCGCTCCACGCACAGCACAGTGGTTGTATGGTTACATTCTCATGTACACAAATAACACTTCTGTTGTCATCCACTAGACAGAATTACTGGTCTTTAGTAGTAGAGACAGGACTTTGGCAGTGCTGTCTAGGCTGGCTGTGATCCTCCGGCCTTACCCCCCCAGTTCTGGCCCTGCAGCTCTGTGCTTGTATTTAACGACTCCACTTTTGTAGCTTCAGAGACACTGGCTGGGACACCCTTACCTTCTCAGTGGACCCTGATACAATGATTGTCCCCAGTTGGTTCATGGCCAGGCTATAAATGGAATCTTTGTTCCCACTTAAAGAAGAGGCTATTGAGGACAAAGGGAGTTCAGTGTTAACAAAACGACCAGGTGTTCAGCAACTTGTCAGCAAAAGTCACAAGCTTACACATTTCACTTAGGAAATCTTATCTTTACAAATACTTTAAGGACATGAAATTTATCTATAATAGAGGCAATTCCAAATAACATATGTTTTTCTGTTATACTGAACTGTGCTGCCATTTAAAATTGATCCACATAAGCAGTGTAGTCCCAAAGATGGGCTTGAACACTTCCAAAGTCACTATTATTCAAAGAAATACAAAAGAAAAACACCATTTCACACACAAATCAGATAAATAAAAAAACAACCCAAACCCCCCAAATCCACTTTTAGCCAGAATCCCCTTTGCTCTGGAAGCCAAGGTGAAGGTATTTTCACTGTGACTGGCTCACAGATACACACCCAGTGGTCTGGAGTGAGCACACATGAGGGGTTCGGAAATGCCTGCCTGTAAGCACTCCACAAACGGTAACTATTATTAGCATGTTTCTATACTCATAAGCCTGGGTGACAGCCTCCCTTAATCTAAGCAAGCCCAGCTATGGCAGGATCTATGTTCGCTAAGGTCAAGTCTCTGTTCCTGTGCATCTTAGAGGCAGGCAGGCCTTACAAAGAGAGGACTAGGATAGACCAGCAGGCCTACCTGTTGGATCCCTGAAAAACAAAACAACAAATAAAACCAACAAGGGGAGACCCTCTTTAGACCCACACATACTTCTGGGCAAAACAACCCTGAAGAAGTTATAAAAACCAGTCTCTCCACCATCCTTCCGGAAATAGACTAAGTCATGTTATAACTGTTTTAGCCACGCCATGCCATTGGAGCCCCTGGAGCCCCAACAAAGTGGAGACATATTGTGTAGACATCTTGCTATCTCTGCCTGTGTTTTGAATGAGGTCTCTGGTCTAGGCTAGGGCACACTCAGACATTTGGCCTGGAGGCTCCCGTAGGCTGGGCTAGTGCTGTATTAGTGCTGTATTAACTTCAAGTCTAGATCTGTGTAAGCCTGACCTGGAAGTTTATCAAACAGTCACACCGAACACCTCTACACTCCCTCTAGAAGCACCCCAGCCTCCCTGGACATTTCCAGAAATGCTCTTTTAGGCTACTCTGAACAGCTCTTCTCAACTGGTACTGGAAACACTCTCCCCCTGGGTACTTCTCATTTCGGCCATCAACACAAAAGAGCCTACTATCACCTTCTTCAAGAACCCTGGCTTCCTGCGTGAGTGCGTGCATGCATGTGTGAGCAATGCTATGGGAGGTACACGGTGTGACAAGACAGATTCTTCTACCCGCAGGGACTTACGCTAAGACATGCAACAGCCAGGCTCCATCTGGAGAAGCTACTAAATCGACAGCACAACAATAAGCTAGCTCCTAGAAGCTGTAAGCCACGGTCTCCATGCAAATGTAACAAAGATGTTGTATAAACCATTCTTTATGTCAACTCAGATCACTTTCAAAAATTGTTTTCAAACACCTTACTTGTGACAGTGTTATTTGAGGCAGTCAGTGCTGTTAGAGTGTTCACATCCCAAAGGAATATTTGTCTGTCCAACCCAGCCGACGCTACCAGCTCTTTATCCTTGGCATATGCTAAGGCCTTTACATAATCCTGTAACAGAGCAGACACACTATGATCCACACTGTAAGCACACGAGGCACACAGAGCACTGAGTTGCCAACACGCCAGGAAGCCTGAATGAAAGCGTGAACATTACCTTATGTGTCCTGAGTGTGGACATGCAGAATCCTTTGTGTGCGTTCCACACTTTGACCGTCGTGTCAGAGGAAGCAGATATCACTACAAGAGAAAACGGGTCAACCACACCTCACCAGAGTGACCTGCAGCTTTAAGGCTATCTTACAGCAAGTGATGCTACTCTAAACAACTGCTCACACATACACGCTTCAAAGCTCTTTCCAGAACTTTCTGAACAATGCCTCAAAGACATATGTAAAGGTATATATACATTAGTGGTTTTAATCAGACAGGAAAACTGTCAGGTAAAGTCCTTAATTTAATTGAGAATAATTACTCAGACTGAAAAACCAAGAAATGGAACTTATCAAAATAAGAAAAATGGCATACTAAGGCTAAAAAAACTATCTAAAAATTTGTATAAAACTAATTGCGGTGATCATGCTGAGTGACTAAAGGGAGGTGTGGGACGGCACAAGGAGGCACCTGGTAATCCCCTGGGGGCTGGGGATGGCTCCCCAGTGAGGGTCTCCTGTGTACGCACCAGCTATCACCAGCACCCGCAGAAGAACAGACCTGGGCGTGGAAGCACACACCTGCAGCCCTACTATACCATAGCACACCTGCAGCCCCACTATACCATAACACACCTGCAGCCCTACTATACCATAACACACCTGCAGCCCTACTATACCATAACACACCTGCAGCCCCACTATACCAACACACCTGCAGCCCTACTATCCCATAACACACCTGCGGCCCTACTATCCCATAACACACCTGCGGCCCTACTATATTATAACACACCTGTAGTCCTACTATACTATAACACACTTGCAGTCCTACTATGACTTTGATGCTGGAGAGGGGTGGGAGTGGAAGTCAGCAGATCCAGGAGCTCAGCAGTCAGCTAACCTAGCAATCAGTGAACTGAAGAAGACGGATTATATCAACCTTTGGTGTCCACACACGCACGCACGAACACACGCACACACACAGAATTCACAACCACAAGTACTTACGGGTTTTCCCATTGCAGCAGAGCACGACGTCATTCACCCAATCTGTGTGGTGCTCCATAGATGCTATGTACGGGTCTTGCTGAAATGAAAACCCACAAAGTTTACAGCAGAGCAACACATGACAAAGTACGGCCATGCAGATTTCTTCGGTTACTGTGCCACACTATCAGGACAGTTACTATAATGAAAGCCTAGGTTCCCAAGGTTAAGAGCTACATACCCCTTGCAGTGGCAAAACTGACAAGTGCTGGGTGAGCTGGGGTATGGGGCACAGAGTGTGGGAGGACAGGAAGGACTTGGGGAAACTGAGGTAGGGATCTCTGACACAGTGTGCCTGGGCTCAACTCCAGAGCCTCTTACAGACAGCGTCTAGACGTCCCACACCACGACAAGTCACACACCTCATGGGCAAGAGAACAGCTCTTTGCATGTCTAAGAACGGAGGCTCTGCAGTCTTGTCAAGACCAGGGAAAAGATGTTTGAGGGTAGGACAGACTGCCAGATTCTAGGTAAGCTGCATTTCCCCTTAATTTGCTCAAAATATTGCAAATTCTCAAAAAGCTAACATTCTAATTCAGATATGAGTTCCTATGGCATTGCAAACACACTTTTCTGATTTTCATGACTTTGACACGGTCTTCATCGGCTCAAGAACTCAAAGCCTGCTGGACTGAGTCCACTGGGAGAAACCTTATCAGGCAGCTGTGCCAATTAGCCTCCATCTGCAGTGAACACAGGTTTATAGAGCTAAAAAGACACACACACACACACACACACACACACACACACACACACACACACACACACACACACAGGTGCTGGTACTAGGGATCTGACATTAGGCTGAGCCCGTTTACTGCCTTGAGAGGGTAAACTTCAGATCTTGGTGAGGACAAGGGGCCGAGACATACAGGTAAGAGCTTGGTGAATGCTCCTCTTCCTCCCAGTATCATTTTCTGTCTCCTTCACGAGGCAGCATTCAAACAAACCCGAGAGCCCCTCCCATTCAGCCGCACGTCTCACTTTCCACGCAGAACCGCTTGGCTGCTGGGGAATGAGCGCCTTGCACAGGATTTTGGTTTCATTACAAACCTGATAACCTGTCTTGATAACAATGCATTTAACTGCCTCTCACAGCTTAAGAGGCTTTCAAAGCTGGGGTGTAGCTCAGTGGTGGTAGGGTGCTTGCCCAGCATGCACAAGGCCCAGGACTTGACGCTCAGTGCTGCACAAGAAGCCATGAAGCCTCTGGAAGCCCTAACGAGTAGGAGAGAGCAGCCTTCATGGTTTTACATCCACCCTGTTAGCCAGGAAGACCCTAACATATTGTAGGAACTTTAATCACTTTTTATAAAGAAATTAAATATTTGTGAAAGTACATAATTCAACATTTTGTTGTTCTATTTTCAGCACTATTATCAAGAGCCTTTTCAAGTTCATAATGAAACCAAAATCCTGTGAGAAGTGCTTATTCCCCACCAGCCAAATATATTTACTCCTCTGTGACAGGGGCCTCTTAAGGCAAAGGAATTAACGGAGGCATTTTCTCACAGGCTTACAGAACTCTGAGAATAATAACATCTTTATAGACTATAATATGAAGCTCAGTGCCCATCAGACAAAGTCACTGGTCCAAGCTCTGACTCCCCGCCTCACCTTGTGTTGATTGACACTCCATATTCTGATGATGGAGTCCCGCCCCGCTGTAAAGAGCCTGTTGAGCGCTGGGTCCAGCTGCAGGGCATTGACTCCATTCCGATTGTACTTCTCCACTTCATCTCGAATAACATAGGAAACCTGGCGGACACCAACAAAAGCCAGGCCGTGTTGAGGTGCAGCCCACTAGTGGCTGATTCCAAAATCAAGCTAACTGAAGGCAACAGTTTCTGTTTTTATCTTACTCCACAGAGACTAAAGGGCATCACTGACAACCCAGCTCAGAACACGCAGGTCTGCTATTAACAACCTGGACACCTCCCCAGGCTCCATCCATTTTCACCAAGTTCCTGGCTGACAGACTCCAGGACAAGACCTGTAGTCCTGCTCTAAGACTGAAATGTCTGGCACACTGAATGCTCTCTCCCAGAATGCCCTTTTCCATTGGCATGCACAGCGAGTGAACACCAGAGCAGGCTTCCTCCAAAGCCTACAGAGCAGATGGAGCTCGCCTGAAGATCAGAGTGCAAAGTCAGCCACACTAGTTAGCCACAGAGGCCAGGCAGTGGTGCACACACCTTTCATCCCAGCACTCAGGAGACAAAGGCAGCCGATCTCTTGTTAGTTCAAGGCCACCCTGAGCTACACAAAATTGATCCAGTCTAAAAGTGAAACAGCTCACACAAAGGTGATCCCAGCACTAGAGAGGAATCGGAAGGCTGGAGGAGACAGGAGCTGAGTGAGTCTGAGGTCTGGTGGAGACAGACGCAGTCTGGAGACGCAGTCTGAGGTGGATCGCCCCTTCGGTCTGAGCACTGGTAGGGGTGAGAGCTCTCTGGTGGCTGCCACTCTGCTTCTCTGATCTTCAGCTTGAACCCAGTATGTTTCTGGGTTTTTAATCATTAAGAACGATTAGAATTGGTACTACATTCCACCTCTAGGGCCTCCCTTTTCCCACTGCTCTGGGCAGGAGTGCTCACTGCTTCGAGCTCAGATGGTGCCACCTCGACTTGCTCATTCTGCTCAAGAGTGAAAACATATACCAGGTGACACGGCCTGCATGACTGCAAAGGTCTCTCTTTTCCCCTCACTTGACATACATGAAAAAATTTAGATACCAGTCCCTGCCATGTGCAAGGTGCTGGGTTCCACCTCAAGCACTACAAAGAAAGAAAAAACAGGAAGGAAGAGGCAGGCAGATCCCTGTGAGGCCAGCCTGGTCTACAGAGAGAGCTCCAGGACTGCCAGGGTCACACAGAGAAGCCTGTCTCAAAATTAAAAAAGGAAAGAGATGCTGGCCTTGGTGGCGCACGCCTTTAATCCCAGCACTCGGGAGGCAGAGGCAGGCGGATCTCTGTGAGTTCAAGGACAGCCTCCAAAACAACACAGAGAAACCCTGTCTCGACAAACCAAAAAGGAAAGAGAGCGAGACAAAGGTGGACGCCTGAGTGCAAAGCCTCCTTAGTTCCTTCAGCACCCGCTGTTACACTGACTCCATGCCTTCCGTCTCTTTCAAAGTGGCCTCATTTGTGTTCTCTCTTGGACACCTTCTCTTACTCTAGGCCATTCTCTAAGCTTTTAGGATCTTTTTGTGTTGTGACATTTCTGGATTTTTGTCCTTTGACCAACCCCTGGCTTTCCTGTGCATTTAGAACGCCCTTTCAATCTAGAAAGTGTGGTACCTCATGCCTGCAGACACCCTTGTGTGGACAGACAGTAGCAGCGATAAGGGCACCAGCATTTCCCGGGCAGCCCTTTCTGCCTACCACAGCAACAGAACAATCTTCATATTAAAATGGCCATGGGCATCTCATAGAATAAAAACAAGATTCACTTGGGCGAGGTGGCACATATCTTTAAACCCACAGCACTTGGGAGGCAGAGGCAAGAGGATTTCTGTGATCTCTAGGTCAGCCTGGTCTACACATCGAGTTCCAAGACAGTCAGGGTGTATAGAGACCTTTTCAAAACAGGAAGAGAAAAACAACCCAAACAAAAGAGGGGGAGGACTTGTGAGATGGCTAAGTGGGTAGCAGTTGGTGCCAAACCTGATGACCCAGAGTCCCACCCCTTGAGTCCACATGGTGAAGGGAAGAGTCAACTTCTACAAGCTGCCCCCCCCCCACCTCTAAGCGCTCTAGCCTCACAAAGGGAACCCTGGACAACTCCCTCAGGGTCCTCAAGGCTGAGCACTAACTCACTTTTATGTGAGTATCTGACGCCTAGAATGGGAGCCCATTTCCTCTCATCTGAGTTGATGGCCTCTCTGCTCTTAAAGGTTTCACCGTTTGTGGATTACTCACCCCTGGAACTCCCACTCTGTATTCTTTTCACACTGTGAGGGACCCAAAATGAGACACAGTGGGACACCAACAGGGAGAAGGGGCTGCTGTGTGCTGCGCCACGCTGTTCCTTGTTCAGAGACCACTTAGGCCTCACCTCCTCACAGCTTTCCACTGACTTGAAGACTCCCTATCTGCCCTGCAGCCACTTCTCTACTCCAGGCCTCTTTACTGCCTCACAAGCAGGCTTTCACTCCTACCTGAGGACATTTTCACTGGGTATTCTCAATGGAGTACCCTCGTCCACATGGCTTAGCGACTGTCTACTCCCTTTCCTCCACAGCCTTTCAAGTCACCTCCTCACGCAGGGTTTCTCTGACCAGCACAAAGACCCCACTAATGCATACTTACCATGGAGGTGCAAGCTTGGAATCCCAGCGTGGGGGCAGAGGCAGCAGGGCTCTGCGAGTTCGTCAACCAGGCCCACAGAGATCCGACTCACACCACCATCACCACCACAGCTCTTCTACTGCTTACCATGACCAGTTTTTTTTTTTTTGTTTACATTTTTTGTTTGTGTGTTTGAGACAGGGTTTCTTTGGTAGCCTTGGCTGCCCTGAAACTCTCTGTAGACCAGGCTGGCCTTGAACTCAGCCTGCCTCTGCCCTTGAGTGCTGAGGTTAAAGGAGTGCACCACCACCACCCAATTGTGAATGCTTTTACTATTTATAATTTATTTAAGATACAATTTATAGTGAAACACGCCATACCTGACAAATGAACACAGCTGTGCAGTACAAACCTTTACAGAGGACATGATTACACCTTACAGAGGAGTTCCCAATTCGCACCGTGCATCCTTAGACAACCTAACTCTAGTTTTATCATCATAATGACCTGTCCAATAGGAGCACACAGCTCCCAAGCAGAGCTGTTCCAGAAAGCACGCTAGTCTAGGCCAGGCCAGGAAAAACCGGCTAAACATAACCACTACCCCAGCTGTTCCTTCTAGTCCCGTAAATTATGACTTTCTGTTTGTAACTCCTTTAAAAAGCATTTTGGGGCTGGAGAAATGGCTCAGTGAGAAAGTGGCTACACTTACCACCAAAGCATAAGAATGAGGTAGACCACCAGGCTGACCTTGAACTTAGAGATCCGCCTGCTTCTGCCTCCAAGTGTTGGGACTCGTGGGTCACCACGTAAACACACCTTGGTCTTCCTTTATGGAAATGGGAACATGCCGTGCTGACTGGCTGCTCCGGACACCTTCCTGTAGATCATATGCCCTCGCATATTGAGTGTGAATGACATCTGCGTTTGTCCTTGAGTGTGTGCATGGAGGGATGGGGTCAAGCGTCAGTGCTTTGTGTTTTATGACTCTCCATTTTATTTTTGTCTGAGGTATGGCCTCTCACAGAATCTGGAGTTTATCAACCCCTCAAGACTAGGTGGCTAGCAAGCCCCAGTGCTCTTCCTGTCCCTGCCTTCCCCATACTAAGACTTTGGCACCACACCTGCTTTTGTGTGGACACTGATGATCTCAACTCAGAGCCTTGTGTGACATGCACTTACCAACTACACAGTTTCCCCGGCTTCCAGTGTACTTTCTGAAAACTGCAGAGTAACCTACTATATGAATACATATTTTATTTGATAACGACATACACTGAGATTTCCAGTGTATGGCTACTTATTGTTTCCCACAATAACAATATTCCTAAAATAAATGCTCTTAGATAAGGAGAGACAGATTACAGACATATATGTGATTTTGTAGAATCATTTCTTTTAAAGGCATGGTCTCACAATGTAGCTCTAGGTGACCTAGAATGTAAGTCAGGCCTGCCTCTGCTCCCTGAGTGTGGGGATTAAGGGAGTGTGCCACCAGGAAAGGACAGAACACATTTTTAAAAGTAAGACACTAGGTTTTGGCAAAACAAGACACAAAGTAGTGAGTGCTACAGCTCTGTTTAAAGTAAAAAGTCATACAAGTCAGGAAGCAAACCGGGAAAGCATATACAATGTACAGCTTTCAACCAGTGTCAACTCTGCCTCAAAGGAAACTGCTCACCAGAGTTTTCCGTTGTCATGACTGCGGAGCTACGGTAATGTCTAGTGGGTCAGGGGATCTCAAGGATCCTGACTTAGGTTAGTTCAGGGAAGACAGAGCTACCCTAAAGTGTCAGGAGTGTGCAGGCTGACACAGGACAACCTACACAGTCGCTGCCTTGAGGTAGTGGAGGACAGGCAGACTTCATGGATTTGTACTATCTGTGGGCTCTTCTTTCCATGAGCATGCGTGGATATGCGCCTACTCCTCTGCACAGTGAGGTGAAACCGGTCTCTGCAGCTTCTGCGCCTGCCAGACAAATTCGTAACTTTTTCTTCAGCAGGCTAATTTCACTCTTGGGAGGAAATGGCGTCTAGTTACAATCAGCAAACTCCAGCTTCGCTCTCGGTGGGCTGAGAGTGGGGCCACCTCCTCCCTCGTTCATGCTGTTTGCACGGGCTCACAGCCTGTTTAAACCTTTGTTTTGTTTTTGCACCTGCTGTGGTTCACTTTCATCGTCCCTCTCCTCTATCGCTATTGTCTTACTCTTGTTTTTAAAAGATGCTAGGGGGTGCAGTGGTGGCACACGCCTTTAATCCTAGCACTCCGCAGGCAGAGGAAGGAGGATCTTTGTGAGTTCAAGGCCAGCCTGGTCTACAGAGTGAGTTCCAGGACAGGCTCCAAAGCAATACAGAGAAACCCTGTCTCGAAAAACCAAAACAAAAATGCTAGGGACTGAACTCAAGGGCCTTGTGCAGGGCAAGCGCTCTTCCAGTGTACAGCCACAGCTTTGACTTGCAAATGTTCTAAAGCACGCATATATGTACAAGTGCCACAAAGCAGCTGTGGAGGTCAGAGGGTAACACGGAGGGAGTCAGCTCTCACATTCCCAGGAGTCAAACTCAAGTCTTCAGGTGTGGGAGTGAGCACCTTTACCCTCCAAGCCATCTCACCAGCCCTGTCTTTTACATCTTTGCCCCTAAATGGAGAGAACTGATAATCCTTACTCTATTGACCACCATCCTAGAGTGCAGAACATGACTAAGTTACAACTTGGTTGGAAACGGCATTCTCACCACCTGGCCTGGAAGCTGGGGTTACTTCAATCCCATCACGAATGCCCTTTAAAAGAAAAACAACACCTATTCAGGGAAAGCTATGGGATCTTAGATCTTGAAATTTCGCTTATTCCTTAAATATTTGATTATTTGTGTGCGGGGTGTGTGGACAGCCCGTGCATGCACACAGCTGTGGGGGTGGAGCTTGTCTCCCTGGTCCTGGGCCTCCTGATCAGCAAGACTAGCCAGCCATCAAGCTTCAGGGACCCTCCCGTTTCTGCCTCCCCAGAGCTGATTAGAGTGTCAACCAACATGCCACGCTTCCTTTTAAGTGAGAGGACAGAAATTTAGATCATGCTTGTGCTCCGGGCCCTTTACCAGAGGAGACACCTCCCTAGCTCAATTTTAATCATTTTAACCACCATCTAGTGAGCGCATAGGAACGCTGAACTCGCCAGCGAGACCAGTAACATAAAAGGGACACCTTTTCAGAAAACTTCACAACTTTAGAACCTTATGCTGGGGTTACTGACTTCCAGACCCCACTTCTGAACACAAAGTTCAATCTGTGGAGTGTTAGTGACTGCTAAACTCTTCCCCTCTGTGGGGCCAATTAATCTATGCACTCGTTACATGTCCAATGACTCAGCGCACCTTTTCAAGTCTCTAACAGGACTTAAAAAACAAACAGACAAACAAACAAACAGGCAAACCCATCCTGTAACATAAAAGGTAGCGGATAATATTTTTTTGAGCCAGGGTCTCCGGTAGCTCAGACTGACCTTAAACTTGTTAGGTACCGGAGAATGGGTCTGAATTTTTGAACTTCCGATCCTCTAGCCTTTAACCACCCCCTCCTCGACGCTAGGTGCTCAAGGCGCACAGGCAGGTACCACCAGGCTGAGATTTACGCGGTGCAAGGGGGGGGATGGGGCGGGGTGCTGACCTTGCTTAGGACAGGAAGCCCTGCCAGATGAACCCCACCCCCGGCGGCCCACAAGGCAGCAAAAGCTTGAGCTCAAACGTCCACCCAACCAGAAGTTTGATTTAGGGAGACCCAAGGCACCCACGACGTGCGTTAACTACCGCCGCCGCCGCGGAGACAAGGACCAAGGAGGAAGGCGGGGATGGCGGTGGGGGAGGCGAAGGCCACCGCCGAGGAGGGGAAAACCGTCACTACTCTCCCCACCCCAGCGCAGGGCTCCCACGTGCGGCCCGGCCCCGCCACGCCCCCGCCGCAAGGCCCCCCGGGCTCCCGGGGTCTCACCCACCCGCGGGCGCCGCGTGGCCTCCGCCGCCGGGTCGCGGCCGCTCCGGAGGAAGGCGGCCGAGAGCAGAGGCAGGTGAGCGGGCAGCAGGCCCATGGCGCCGCCGCAGGCCCGGTGCCCCGGCACGGCGGTTTCCCCGCGCCCGCCCGCCCGCGCGCCCAGCCCGCCCGCTCGCCGCCTCAGGCCGTTGGCGCCGCGGCCCCACCCCTCGCGCGGCTGCGCCCCCGCCCCGCCAGCCTCCCTCCCTCCGGCCGTCGAACCCCGCCGACCGCGGCCCGAGGCATCCGCCCGCCCGCGGGGGAAGCCGGTCCGACGGCAGCGCCGCCCGGGCTGCAGAGCCCGGCCGCCATACCTGCACTTTCCTCCGCCCGGCTGTGTTCTGCCGGTGATGGGCCGCCATCTTGCATGTTGACACTCCGACGTCACTTCCGGGAGCGGCCGGCGCCGGCGGATGTCCCGCCCTGGTTCCCTCGGTTGGGCAGGACGGTAGGTAGGGGCGTGGGCTCGCCCGGCCCGTAGCGAGGGAAAAGGCCGAGCGCGGGCGGTAACGCTGACGGGAGGCGCAGCCGCCCCGGGCGCCCACCCCTGCGTTAGTATGCGTCGTGTTTTTTTTTTGTTTTTAAAGCTCAAGTTTGCTGTGCGTTTGCGTCTCGCCTGAGTGTCTGTCCGTGCACTCCGTGCGTGCGGTACCCGCGGAGGTCGGGAGAGGCCGTCGGATCCCGGGGACCGGAGTTAACGGTTGCTTGTGAGCATCGCGTGGCTTCCGGGAGTCGAACCCAAGTGCTCTGCCGGAGCAGCCAGTGCTCTTAACCGCTGAGCCCTGTCTCCGACTCCGTCTCCATATTTGTAGCTTAAAAAAAAACAAAAAAAATTCGTTATTTGCTTGTTTTTCAAGACAGGGTTTCTCTGTGTTGCTTTGGAGACTGTCCTGGAACTCGCCCTGTAGACCAGGCTGGCTTCGAACTCACAGAGATCCGCCTGCTTCTGCCTCCCTAGTGCTGGGGTTAAAGGCGTGCGCCACCAACGCCCCGGCCTGTTGTTATTTTGTTTTTGATGCACGGTCTTGCTGTGTAGCCCCGGCTGGCCTAGTATGCGCTATGTAGACCAGGCTGACCTCAGACTCCTCCGGAGGTCAGAAGTCCGCTTGTGGGGGTCAGTTCTCTCCTCCCGCTGTGTGGGTCTTGAGGGTCTAACTCAGGCTTGGCAGCGGCACCCTTACCCAGTGGGCTATCTCACCGGCCCCCTCAAGAGAGCTAGAAGTACAGACTTGTGCCACGGTAGCTGGTAAAATGGGTCCTAGGAAGTTAAGCAGGAGAATGTTAGCATTGACCCTGGTATACTGACTGAAGACAATCAGTGTATTTTTAAATGATCACCTGGGTCAGGGAACGTGGCTAAAGTGTTATAACCCCTGTGGAAACCCACTACCTTTGTAAGCTAATTAAAAAAATGCAGAGGGTCTGGAGAGATGGCTGAGAAATGAAGAGCACTCGCTGCTCCTGCAGAAGACTTGGGTTTGGGTCCTAGCATCCGTCCACCTGGGAGAGCATGAGTGTCTGTCACTCCAATTCCACAGGCCCTCTTCTGGCCCCCGCAGGTACTGCATGCAGGTGGCATACCCACACATGCCGGCAGCACACTCACACACATAAAATAGAAGCAAATCTTAGAAAGAAAACACACTTATAAAGACAGAATTTTGAGCATAGATACCCTGCATGGATGGACGATTACTCCCCCAGAAGATATGGGGTATTAAATGAGAATCTCAATGCCAGGCACGGGATAGCTTCCTGTGACTTATGGTCAGGGAAGCCCTAGAGGTCCCCCAAACAATACAGGCCATTGCTGTTGCTCTCGGTTGCCCACTAAAACTAAGTAGTAAGACAGGATTGCTGAAGACGCCATACACTTCGGTAGTTGGACGCAGAGACAACAAGGTGGCACCGACTCCAACATTTCCTCCCCAGGACTAGCCTTCATAGTGGCGGGGGTGCTAAGCAGCCCTCCAGGGAAGACACAACATCCGTGATATCCCTGCAGACAACCCCGCCAGGCAGGATGTGCTCACTGGTGTAGCGGTGGCCTGACAGGTATGAGGATGACCAACGCCTTTTGGATTCAGGTCTGGTCCTGTGCATCCCGTGGCCCTAGGGAGGATCCTGCTACTGTTGCTTTGCTAAACTACGTGTTGCCAGACTTCTTTCTAGATGTTTGTGTAGTGGCAGCATCTTAGGGTGTGGCTTCAGGGGTCTGGAGAGATGGCTCAGGGGTTAAGAGCACTGGCTGCTCTTCCAGAGGTTCCGAGTTCAATTCCCAGCACCCACATGGCGGCTCACAGTCATACCAGATGAAGGATTAACAGGTGTTTATTTGGGGAGCACCCACATGATGATGGCAAATCACCACCATCTTCCTGTTCCTGGAGATGCAGTCTCTGCCCATAAATTAGTTCTGTCCTCAGCCATGGCCAGAGGCGTCGCCTCTCTTTGTAGGGAGCAGCTGTGAACGCAGAGAGAGACTCAAAGTGCTAATAAGTGCTCAGCTCTAAATACACATCCGTATCGCCCCCACCGCAAGGTTCAGGAAACGTCTTTGAAATAGAGTGGAGAGAATGTAAGAGCCGGATCATGGGGCGGAGACTGAAATGCTGTCTCTCGGATATGACGTGGCCATCGCACCATCAACGACATGCAGCTGTAGCCACCTGCACAAGATCTGTTCAGCACTCAATGAACTCAGTGGGCTATTAACACAGACAGGAGAGGACATGGATTGGGAAGTGGCTGAGGGTGCCTGGCGGAGTTGGGGAAGGACATAAAAGTCCCTGGGGGGAGTAGGAGGGAGGAGATGGGGTTCCTTGGGGGGAATGGAAGAGATGAGTTGGGGGAGCGTGTGATCAGTATGTATTGTTTACACATGTGAAATTGTCTAAGGGTAAATAAAAGATGCTCTGTTAAAACGATCATATAGTGTTTAGCATATGTTTGACGTGTAGTAAGAACGTAATAAAAATGAAACTGGGCTATCGATGTAGTGCCCAGTAAAACTCCTAGTATCACAATAAATAAACACTGCTGAGATGGAAACACAAAACCACGCAGAACCTTGGTTCACAGCAACTACTTTCTGTTAGCGGCTAATATATTATTTGGGTATTTAAAAGTGGTATGGAGCAGAACTGGAGAGGTGGCTCAGAGGTTAAGAGCACTGGCTGCTCTTCCAGAGGACCCGGGTTCAATTCCCAGCACCCACATGGCAGCTCACAGCAGTCTGTAACTTCAGTTATAGGGGACCCAACCCTCTTCTGGCCTCCTCTGTACATACATAGTTCACACACATACTGTAGATGCAGACAAAATACCTATACACGTAAAATAAAAGGAAAAAAATTAAAAATGGCATGGTGGTTTGAATGAGAATCACCCGCCGCGGCTCAGGTATTTGAACACTGGGTCCGGGTTGGTTGGCACTGGGTCCGGGTTGGCACTGTTAGGGAGCTGGTGTGGCCTTGCTGAAGGCTGCACATCCCTGTGGGTGGGCTTCCATGTTTCATAGTCTCAGCCTGTTTCCCGCTCACTCTGCTCCCTGTGTGATCACTCAGCATCATGCTCTTGCCACCAGGCCCGTCACTTGTTACCACGCCTTCCCTGCCACGATGGACTCTGACTCCTCTAGAACCATAAGCCGACGTAAAGTCTTCCATGAGGTGCTTTTGGGAAAAGTGACTAATGCTGATTGATTTTTTAAAAAAGAAGAGCACTTTTCGACTCATTTAGTCAGATTGTATACTACAAGTCCATCCTGGTTGTCGATCAGATCAGAGAAACAACAACAAAACCTATATGGTTTCCTTCTAGCATAATCTTCCAGTAAGAAGTAAGGTACAGGGATGTGTGATAAGCTGTAAGATTGCCATTCAAGAGTGATGTACAGGCCAAGCAAGGTTATATAAGCAATTTTAGTAGTGTAGCATGAACCCAAACTTAAGATGTCGGGGTTTGTGAAATAAAATTCACACCCACTACAATTCTTTCAGCTTGCATTTTCAGAAGCTTCAGCCAGTTCAACTTCTGTTAAAAAACTTACATAACATAAAAGACACGCTTGTGATACCGTTTTAACTTATTTAGTGCATGTGTGTGCGCGCGCACACACGCGTGTGTATGGGTGTCCAAGGATGCCAGTAGAAGATGCCTGTCTTACTCAAGTGTTTTGTCATTGTGAAGAGACACCATGATCCAGGCAACTCATAGTTATAAGAGGAAGCATTTCATTGGGGCAGGCTTACAGTTTCAGAGGTCCAGTCCATTACCATCATGGAGGAGGGCATGGCAGATGCGATGCTGGAGGAGCTGAGAGTTCCACATCCAGATCTGCAGTCAGCAGGAAGAGAGACACACTGGGCCTGGCTCGAGCATCTGAAACTCCAAAGCCCACCCCCCGTGACACACTTCCTCTGACAAGCCACACCCACTAATTCTTCCCAATAGAGCCACTCCCTGACCACAAAGCATTCAAATGTCTGAGCCTGGGGGGGCTATTCTTACTTAAACCGCCACAGTGCCCGATGTCCTGCAGGTGGAGTTACAGGCAGTTGTGAGATGCCTGGTATTAGTGCTGGCAACTGAGCTCTGGTCCTCTGCAAGAAGAGCAAAAGCTATTAATCACTGAGCCAACTCTCCGTCCTTGTGATACATCTTTTAGATAATTTCTTAATTTTCCCACTTGGTAAATACAGTACCCCATCCCCGGCCATCTCTGTGTTCTCCCACAGAAAGTCTATGAAGCAGCTGGAGATGTTTCTGTGGAACATTGTATGGTGTTCCCATGCGGTCAGAGAGACTGCTTTAAGTGTCATATTGAAATTTTCCTAACAAAGGGAAAAGAAGCCAACATGTTTAGCAGCTAGGTTATGTCCGAACACTCTGAGAACACAGTCTCCTCTTACCTCGGGGGTGGTGTCACAGTATAGATAGAACAAACCACTTCCCAGTCTAGAAATGCTTGGCCCATATTTCCCACTGGAGGGCAGTAGAGAGCCGTCCACTCGGGCCCCTGAGTTAGAAGTCACTGGCTGTGAGACTTTTGCATGTTTGCTACTTATTCTCCACAGACGAAAAGCCACAATCAAAGTGCCTCTACAAGAAATGGACTTTCTTCCATGGAAGTGCCATAACTTACTAGGAAGACAAGTTAAATGAAAACAAAGCACAATTTGGGTGTTTGCAAGGTCAGTGAATCCCATGTTTATGGATTTAAGCCGCTCAGATTAACAGCTTTTTATAAAAGGTTACACACATGCAGTGTGTTTCTTACCATTATTCATTAAATCAAACAGTTTTTACGTAGTATTTAAATTTCACTCCTAGAGATGACTTATCGTGTATGGTAGTGTGTGCAGATATCTCATGGATATTCCTCACTGTTTTATAGAAGACCTTGGAGCATCCCAGAATTTTGGTACCCAAGGGATGCTAGTCACCATGGATACGAGGGGTGACTTGATAATTTTAACAACTGGACAAAATAAAAACAATTTAATATCTGTGCTACAAATACTCCCCTTTTGTTATGTGGTTCTTACAAAGGACCTGAGTGGGCTGAGGCTCTCCAAAGCTCAGGATAGAAACGTGCGGTGGGGGTGACCTAGACCCCACAGACTTGAATGTGTCCAAGTAGATGCCATTTCCAGTTATTAAGATTAAATGTAATTCTGGGCCATCGAGACAGCTCAGCAGGTCATGGTGCTTGCCGCCAAGCCTGGTGACCAGAGTTCAGTCTCTGGAACCCATGTGGCAGGAAAAGAGAAGTGACTCATATAAGTTGTCCTCAGACTTCTATGCGTGTGCTATGTCTACCCCAAATGTCAGAAATTTAGAAACTTTAAAAAATCAAATTCAGTGTACTTCTGGGCTCCCACCTAGTCAAAATGATGGGGAACTCCTCCTCAGTTGAAGTCAGTACACCTGTGGCTACAGCAATTACCACAAGGTCACAGGTCAATCTCAGGATCATACTGGGGGCGGGTCACCAAAAACCCTGAAACCATAGAGTTTGGAACCCAGTGTCCCAGAAACACTTGGATGTGACAGATCAGTGGGACTTTTCTTTCGCCTGGAGAGGGCCATTATCGGCGCTGGGAATCCCAGAGCCTGTGACTTAGCCCCAAGAGCACCACCATCAACCCGGACACCTGCGTGATGCTCCTGGTTTTCATCTCTCGCAGATCCCCTCTCCTCTCACTAACCGTCTCCCGGCCTCTGCAGGGAATCGAGCTGCTTTCTGATTTCCCACCTAGCGTATAATGTCTTGGCTTTCACTGGAGTCCAGATGAGAACTGATCTTTAGGAGCGCCTGCTTTTTGCTGGGCAAACACAAACCACCCCTGAGACCCGCAAGCTCTGTGGTGGAAGCTGAGGAAGGAAGGGAGATCACAAAACCGGTGGAGACATTCCAGTTCCTCAGCAAACCCTCCCTCCCCGGAGGCTGGAGTCGAACACTGTTCTGTTCCTCGTAATCTCCTGGCAGAAACCACCGGCATTCTTCATGCCTCTATAAGCACCTTCAAAATGCTTTCAAAAACCAGGCCCAAAAGTCTGGAAATCTCCCTTCACTAATTTGTTGTACATGAATGCCCGAAGAAGCCTTTGAATGGTAAATGCAGTGGGAGGGGCAGTTTCCATGGCAACAGTCCAAGGCATCCTTTTCTCCCTGCAAGCCAATTAGGTCTTCATTGCTGAGCTGTTGTGAATGAGAAGGCAAGGGCTGGGCTCCTGTGCGGGGAGGAGGGGTGGTAAGAGGGGAAGTCCTAAGCACCTGGCTGGCACCTCATCCCGAACCCACTGGGCCCTGCTCTGGTTGCCCTGGACCACTTGGGGAAAATACACTTGGAACACACGACAAAGAACCAGTTTCTTTAGTAATACAAAGAACGATTACGAGCTAACACGGAATACACCAAAGCACAATAGGAAAAAAAAAATTAGCGAAGGGCATGAAGAGGTACTTACAGAGAAAGAAAAGAAATGGCTGGATCTGTACGGGAGTGTCCTTAATCTCACTCATAATGAGGAAAATATGTGTTTACGGGAACACCGCTTTTCTCCCACGGCTCAGAAAAGACCTGAAAGTTTAATGAGACGCTGTGTTCAGGTGATGTGGGGAAGCCGTCGTTTATACACTCGGAGTGCCAGGGTAAATCAATATAATCACCCAGGAAGGTGACTTAGCAGTTCTTTTTTTTTCTAGCAATTCCTTCTCGAAACTGTACTTACAGTTAATACAGGGAAGCATTGTTGGAGAAAACGATGGGGACAGATTAAAGGGATGATTGACAGGCCACTAATGCTCCTGCCACCTACCATTAGTGTGGCTGAGGGAGTGGTATGGAATGGACTGCCTTCTATCTCAGTTTAACCCGAGGCAGAGGTAGGATCAGTTGCCTTTCTTTTAGTGAAATACCGACAGGACCTGGGTGTGGTGGTATGCGCCTTTCATCTCAGCAGCTGGGAGGAAGCAGACAGATGTCTGTGAGTTTGAGGCCAGTGCTGTCTCCATGCAGAGTTCTGGGACAGCCAGGGCACCACAGAGAGACGCTGTGTCAGAACCAAAGCCTGTTGGGGGACGTCCTTCTGCATACGTGTTTCTCCTATCGGTTGATGGATAAAACACCGATTGGCCAGTAGCCAGGCAGGAGAGATAGGTAGGGCAACCAGAGGAGGAGAATGCTGGGGAGAGGGGAGAGAGAAGCCACCAGAAAGAGAAACCATGTAGCCAAGGAAGGAGTAACAGGTCCAGGCCCTTCTTGGGTAAGATAAGGCCACCTGGAAACACTTAGATTGATAGAAATGGGTTAATAATTAAGAGAGAGCTAGCCAATAAGAAGCCTGAGCCATCGACCAACAGGTTAAAATTAATAGACGCCCCCGTGTGTTCATTTGGGGCTAAACAGCTGCAGGACCAAGCTGGAAAGAAACCTCCAGCTACAAAAACCTGACGAAATCTTCCTGAGGATGGAAGGGTTATTTCGGCTCACAGTTTGAGGGATGGAGCCCAGCATGGTGGAGTAGTCAGTGCAGGAGCCTGAGGGCACAGCTGACCACCAGGGTCTGCAGACAGGACATAGGTGGCTTCCTCCTCTCTGACGTTCAGGGCCCAGGCCCACATTTGGGGGGTCTTTCCACCCGAGGTAACCAAATCTAGACCGTTCTTCACAGACAAGCCTAGACATTTGTCCTTTAATGACTTCAGACCCTGTCAGGTTGACAGTGTCACAACCAGATTAGGATGCAGTCCCAAGTAAGCATAAAACAGATCCCACGTGCGGGTTATGGAAGAAAATTCTCCCGAGAACTCCTAGGTCGCTCAGGAGGCTCAATGGTGTCGGGGTGTGGGAAGAAAGATTTCTTTGGAAATAATCTGTGCTCTTCTCCTATCTCTTCTCTCCCAGGAGTTCGTGACCTGTGACTCTGAACATACTAAGGTAGGTCTTTGGTGAGACCGTCCTGAGAGCTTGTAAGTGAGCAGTCGGGTGGGTCTCAGTTCTAGAGGCTGAGAGGTGACCCCACCACAGCAACGGCTTTGGTGAAGCCATGAGATATGCCGGGAACAGACCGTGCACCACAGTTTTGGAGTAAGGACTGTGCAGTGCCTAGGTTTATGTCAACTTGACACGAGCTAGAGTCATCAGAGAGGAGGGAGCCTCAGTTGGGAAAATGGCTAATGCTGGGCGTTGGTGGTGCACATCTTTAATCCCAGCCCTCAGGAGGCAGAGGCAGTTGGATCTCTGTGAGTTCAAGACCAGTCTGGTCTACAGAGTGAGTTCCAGGACAGCCTCCAAAGCCACAGAGAAACCCTGTCTAAGAAAAAAAAGAAAGGTGAAGACCAACATGCATGGGTGTTCTGTGACCTCCACACCCAGGCTATGGCAAGTGTACACTACACACATACACACTGCACATGAACACTCGTGTGCACACACACAACTCTCATACACCTACACCCACAGACACACACTCATGCACACACACAACTCTCATACACCTACACCCACAGACACCCACTCATGCACACACTCTCACACACCTACACCCAGACACATACTCATGCACATTCACGCACTCACACACCTACACCCACAGACACACACTCATGCACACACTCACACACCTACACCCAGACACATACTCATGCACATTCACACACTCACACACCTACACCCACAGACACACACTCATGCACACACTCTCATACACCTACACCCACAGACACACACTCATGCACATTCACACACTCACACACCTACACCCACAGACACATACTCATGCACATTCACACACTCACACACCTACACCCACAGACACACACTCATGCACACACTCTCATACACGTACACCCACAGACACACACTCATGCACATTCACACACTCACACACCTACACCCACAGACACATACTCATGCACATTCACACACCCACACACCTACACCCACAGACACACACTCATGTACACACTCACACTCATGTGCTATACATGCACAGAAAATGATTTTTAAAAGCAAGACACCTTAAATATAAAGCTGCTTTCAAGATTTTTCTCTTTGTCACTGGTTTTATGGAATACCTCCATATTGGGTGTGTGTGTGTGTGTGTGTGTGTGTGTGTGTGTGTGTGCACTTGAATATTTCTGGAGGATCCTGAATGCATAAAGTTCTAGCTTCCACCAAATTTGTGAAATGTTCATTATTTCTTTAGCTTTTTCACATAGAGGTTGGCCTGGAACTTGCAATCCTGCCTCTTTAAAAAAATCTTTAATTTATTTTTAATCATGTACACACTTAGGAGAAGTGTGTGTATGTCCATGTGAGTGAGTATAGTGTATGGAGGCTGGAAGAGGGTCTTGGGTCCTCTGGGGTTACAAGTGGTTGTGAACCACCCTAAGTGGGTACTGGGAATTTGGGTCCTCTGGAAGAGTAGCCGAGTGTTCTACCTGCTGAGCCATCTCTTCAGCCCCTGCAAATGTTTTCTCATGCCTCTTCCACTCTTCTCTCTCCTTGGGAGTTCTGCTGGACTGGCCTGTTGTGGAATATTTCCTTAACAGGCAAAGATGTGTTACATTTGTCTATGATGTATTTGTTTAATCATGTAAGAACGTGCGTTTAGTTATGTAAAGACGTGTTGCATCTGTGTCATCTTGCCTGCCTAAGGCACCTCATTGGTCTAATAAAGAGCTGAACAGCCAATAGGCAGAAGGGGGATCGGTGAGGCTGGTGGGCAGAGAGAATAGGAGAGAATGAGGGAGACAGAGAGGGCATGACCGGAGCAAGAAGCCAGATCGTCACCAGCCAACAGACATGGAGAAGCAGTAAAAGTAAGATATACAGAAGAAACGTAACAAGCCCTGAGGCAAAAGGTAGATACAGAGAAATAGGTTAATTTAAGTTAAAAGAGCCAGCCAGAAAAGAGCCTAAGCTAGGCTGAGAGTTCAAAATAATAAGTCTCCGTGTCTCAAGATTTGGGAGCCAGCTGGTGACCTAAAGCAAAAAGCCTGGTATTGCCCTACTTTTTTTCTTCCAGTTTCTTCACACTGCAGTTCTATTTGATCCTTTTATATATTCCACATCTGCACTTAATTTCCCAATATATGTGCTCAGTTTTAATAACTATTTTAGATTCTCTGTTTAATTATAGTATCTATGTCCAGTCTGGGTGGTTTCCACTGAATAATTTATACCATCGCTATGGGTCATATTTTCTTGCCTGGCAGGCAGAAACTGTGACATTTACTCTGGTGCGTGTCAGGGGATATTTCTGTGTCCCTGAATTCCTGGGCTTTGCTGTGGAATAAATCACTTGGAAAGGGTTGGTTCCTGCGGTCTAGATTTCCATTGTGCTCATTTGCTTTTCTTTTGAGAAAGGGTCATGGGTCCCAGGCTAGCCCTGATTTCACACTGTAGCCAAGGATGACCTTAAACTCTGGACCCTCCTGCTTCTACCTGCCAAGTGTTAAAATCCTAAGTGTGGCACACCAAGTCTGGTTCTGTCTGTCTATCTGTGTGTGTGTGTGTGTGTGTGTGTGTGTGTGTGCGCATTGAGCACATACATTGCATGGAGTGTGTATGGAGGACAACTTGTAGGAGGCGGTTCTTTCCACCATGTATGTTCCATGAATCAAGCGCGCACGCACACACACACACACACACACACACACACACCACACACACACACACACAGTGTAGAAACTGGTTATTTCCTTTCACCTTGTGGGAACTGGGAATCAACCTCAGTCTGTCAGGCATGGTGCCAAGTGTTCCAACCTGCGGAGCCACCTGTGGCTTCTGGGAATCAAACTCGGGTCCTCATGCTCTCAAGGCAAGCGCCTTCCCAGCTGAGCCACCCTCCAGATGTCCCTTCTGGGGTGAGGCTTGGCCTGGTTGCAGGTAGCCTCTCTCCCCAGGTAACCCCCTCACACTTAGTCTATGGAAACACCTCCCCAAATGTCAGGGGTTATGTTGCTGTGATGGAGCACCGTAACCAAAAGCAAGCTGGGGAGGAGAGGGTTTATTTGTCTCACACTTCCACATCGTAGTCCATCACTGAAGGAAGTCAGGACGGGAGCTCACACAGAGCAGGAACCTGGAGGCTGGAGCTGAAGCAGAGGCCATGGAGGTGAGCTGCTCACTGGGTCGCTCCCCATGGCTTGCTCAGTCTGCTTTCTTACAGAACCCAGGACCACCTGCCCAGGGATGGCCCCACCCACAATGGGCTGGGCCCTCCCCTGTTAATCACCAAATAAGACAATGCCTTATAGCCAGATTTGGGGAGGGGTAGTTCAAGACAGGGTTTCTCTGTTCACTGTTGCCTGTCCTACACTATGCCAGCTCCCAGGAATTCTGTCTCAGTCCCCCACCTTTCTGTAGAAGTCTTGGGAGTACAAATGTGTGTTACAGCCCCCAGCTTTCAAATACCTTGTTTGAAATAATTCAAATGAAAATATAGTTATCCTGGGACATCATACAATTATTGTACATGGAATGACTCATTACAGTTCTGAAGGCTGAGAAGTTCAGAATCAAGGCTGATCTTCTGACCAGAGGGGCAGGGCTAAACTTGGGAGTTTCTACTCTCTGTATGATCTGCTACCTGGACACGAGATAGACCGCACCTCTAGGATGGTAATCTGTGCTGTGATACTTAATACTGGCTGTCACAGAGACGGGATCTAGAATCAGCCAGGAGACACATCTTGGTGTATGTATTTAAGGAAGTTTCTAGACAGGGTTCATCGAGGTAGAAAGACTCACCCTAAATGTGGGCAGAACTGTTCCAGGGGCCAATGATCCAGAATGAACAAAAAGAGATGGAGCAGGTGAGCAGCGACTCTCGCCTCTGCTTCCTGACTGCACTTGTACTGTGACCAGCCACCGACTGCTACGCCTTCCCAGCCTGAGTGGACTGCGCCCCAAAGCCACGAGCCCAAACGAACACATCTTTTCTTAAGTTGCTTTTGCCAGAGATTTTATCACAGCAAGGAGAAAAGCGACTAATGCAGTTCTTTCTCAGACGGTGGTGTCCTGAATAAAGGACAACTCAAATATCCAATTCCTCCTCAGATCAGGTATCCGAGGAACACCAGCGTTCAAGTTTGCAGCTCCCATTGTATCATCACACAGGGAAGACGGCAGAGAAAGAAGAGACAAGCTCTCGCGTGCGGTTATTTAAATATTGATTTAACATGCACACACGTGTACACACATACGTGCACATACGCATAGGTTGTAGTTGCCTTCCAAAGACAGAAGATGGCATAAGATCCCCTGGAGTTGGAGTTACAGGTGGTTGGGAGCCATCTGATGTGGGTGCTGGGAACTGAACTCAGGTATCCATTCTTTTTTTTTTCTTTTTTTTTCTTTTTTTTTTGGTTTTTCGAGACAGGGTTTCTCTGTGGCTTTGGAGGCTGTCCTGGAACTAGCTCTTGTAGACCAGGCTGGCCTCGAACTCACAGAGATCCGCCTGCCTCTGCCTCCCAAGTGCTGGGATTAAAGGCGTGCGCCACCAACGCCCGGCAGGTATCCATTCTTAAGAGCTGAATTATCTTCCACACCCTCCCCCCACTAATCCCACTCATACCGGCTCCTTACTCATTTCCTAATTGCTGCCATCATGCGGATGCTCTGAACTCAATATTTAAATGGAGGAGACAAAAACTCCAGTCCCCTGGACGTGGCTCAGGAGCTCTTGCTTTGGATTCAGAAATGTATTTCAGACGTGACAAAGGCTGGAACAGGTTGACTGCCTTGCCTGACACAGTGGGCGGAACATGGGCATGCCCTGCGGAGAAGGCAAAGCTGGATTTGGATTTAGACAGGAGCAAAGGGCACAGGTAGCATGTGGTTTCTCATGCAGACCCCTGAGCTGAAGCAGGGGCCTTGGCTGTACCCCACACTTCGTCTCGCTGTAGGTGAGGAGCAGTTGAAGATGCCCT